GCCAAGTGGGCGACAATGATCTGCCGCTCAGCACATCCTGAGTTTCTGTTTCTACCGCTACCTTTGTCACTATTTCTCCCACTTTCGCTATCACTACTCTTTTCAGCCACCTCTTTCAGTTCGTCCTCTACATGGTATAGCTAAGTCACACTAACAAGACTCTGAGAAGGATAGGGACTGTGTTGGCACCCATGTAGGGGTCTCTCTCTTGCCGAGACAGCAGCGCGAGGCCATGCAGTCACCCGCTCATCCGGCTTGGTTCCCGAGGCGGGGTGGTCCGAATACACCACAAACTCGCGTAAGACAATCCACCACGGTGGCTGATTCGTTCCTTTTGGAAATATCTATGTCCACAATCATGTTTCCTCATCAAGATCCACCACTGAAGGCGGGAGTGTGGGAACGGACCACATGCTCGCGAGATGGGGTCTTCTCGGCAGCCGTGACATCTTGTCGGTTGCTCATTTGTCGAGACCCAGGGCAAGGAGTGTACGGATACTATTCCCAGATTCACTCCCCCTGGTGAATGATCGACTCGTTTGTACCCGTAAGGCGGGGAGGGATGGAGATCTCCTCTGCCGCTGTATGGTGTGACGGGTTTACGGATATAGGCCAGACCACCACGTTGCGTAAAAAGAATGTCCCGATACTTGAGACAACCACCACAACTCACATGCTCCATCGATCTCTCCCTGCTTTCGTGATGGTTCCTGATGATCACTATTGGTTTCGAGGCATACCACCCGCATCGTCGGGACATACATGTGAGGGCGATCCATGCATGTTCATCTACTACACACATACTTTAGGCATGCGACAACCATCTGCGGTTCCTGCCTGTAGCTCGCGAGACATTGGAGAGACATGGACGGTACCGATAGTACGGACGTCAGCCTGGGTTCCCGAAAGTGGTCTCCATCTCACATTGTACAAATTCTACCTCTACCAAGCAAGTGGGCCAGAACTGCGGTTGGCTGGTCTATGTCGATACCTTTGCCCGTTGACAGCAATCATCCAGAAGATCCCGTCTGTCTGTCTCCTTGTTGGTGATATGAAGTATCTCATGGCGTGAGCTCTTTCCCGAATGTATGCCAAACTCGCTGCATAGCAACTGCCCTGGCCCCCCTCACGATCCGACCTAAGATCGTGACCGAGGTCTCAAGCTTCAGAAGTGAAGAGATGACGAGCCATTGGATATGGGGGGTTCCTGTCGCTCGGGAGGACGAAGAACCAGTTTATCAATGCCAAGTGTGCATGTATCTTAATGCCTACAGAGAGTCAAACCCCATCTACGATACGTTTCTCAGAGAGAGGACTTAGTTCAACCCAAAGGGAAAGACAATGTTCAGGCTATGTTACGAGTTTCAAGAGACCATCCAGATAGATCACTATCGCGAACACAGTACGACCGTCTTACGGTCACTACAGAGAGTCGATTACCTTGACAGCCGACATCACGGGCACTGCCAGATTGGTCCACGCGATGATTCTCTCGAGACAGTACTAGACAATTCACCCCTAGAAGTAGAATCACACCCCCAAGCACCAAAGTTAAGCATCTCGAAGCTCCTAGCTACCCCTGGGCAACACTCGCATGAGGGGAGATTGCCTTGCTGACGGCGGGCATGCTCTACCAGCCACAAACCACCTCTTGTGAAGCTCCTTCAGGGGATCAGAGGCAGTCAGCTGAATCCTATACCGACCTCTCTCCCCCTAGCTGCGTCGGAGAGGCTGGCTGATTAGCTTGATCTTCGTCTCTGGGGAGGTCACGATACACCACAGGGGGGGGGGGGGGGTTGAAAGGGGGTACAGTCAACCAACCCCATGCTCAATTAGCATCGTATTGCCTGGACGCAGTGCGCCACCAACGAGATGACTGCATACTCTGCAGGCCACAAGTTCTCGGAAACACATTCATGTAGTCTTGAATATCATTTGACGACAGTTCATGAAAGGAGGTTCATATACATTGTGTCAGCCAAGGCAGTGAGAAGTATCACAAGAAGTAGGATTGTCCGACGCGCAACGATTCCCGTCTGCTTTCTTGGACAGGGTAGACTCAGTTTATCGTAAGACTGTACATATGGAGAGGCTCATTGACGATGCTCCATGGAGAATGATGTATGGACCTTTGATGGCGCAAACAGTCAAACAGAAGCACTCTCTTGCAGTCTGCCCTTTCATGTCGTTTCCTCCCCTTTCTACATCAAGGCACAAAATACCGCGAATTAGGAACGCATCATGGTCGACAACCAGGCTCTACATCACGATGAGGCTGCACTCGATCGCGATTTTCGCAGCCCTGGTCTGTCAGGGTAGGGGATATCTACAGATTGCAGACAACAACCCCGTAGCCTGATCATACGATTTTGTTCTTTGTTGAACATCATCACTAGCCCAAGGATACGAAAAAAACAGGTTTCAAGCCCATCGCACTCCGCCCAGCCCCTCCCCAGGACCCCCGGGAAACGATGCCATCATCCCCCTTCCCATCGCCGCGCGGGGCACCGTTGGGGGAGGATCGGAGCACAAGTCCGATGCGGACCTAGTTCATCAAGGGAAAAGAAAGGAAATCGGACGCTCCGACAAGGGGCGTGTGTCTTTCTATTCCGCTGTACTACTATCACGCCCGGCGGAACGAGAAAACAGCAACGGCGGCCCCATTCATCTTCAACGCGAACAAGACGCCATGCCATTGCTGTGCTAACTATTCCGGCCACAACATGCCCATTCGGCATAGAGCCGTTTTAGCTAGTATCGGATTTCCACTCCTTCTTTTTCCATGACCAACGATGTATGCTACGAAGATGGCGCCAATACGTTCAAAGGATGGCCCAGGGGGCGGGGAGACGGGACCTTTCGTTGATGTTGCGAGTGGGTAAATGCTGGCCCGGGCAGATGCCCGAAGTGAACGCAGCTACGAACCGGAAGGGGAGAATGCCGAGCGGTGTGGGCTGTAACTTGTAAGCCTGTTCGTGTTGGGGGCTTTGTGGGTGGGCGTCGTTTCCCGACCGCCGAAAAGTACGGTGCGGCAAGAGCGGCGGTGACTTGAATCCCCCGGTGTCTGCAACTGCAAGCCCGCTTACACTACGGAGTAACTACGTACGCTCTCATCATAGGAGGGAGGGGGGAGGAGATGGGATGGGATGGAAAGGATGGCATACCTACCAGATCATGGATGGGATTGGGAGGCAGGGGGGGATGAGAGTGCGGAACCGCAAGCCGGGAAAGTTTTAGAAGTGATACGTAGAAGAGAGACGGTACCTAAGTTGCCAATTGGCCAATTAGTTGGAAGCGATTGCATATGGCGTTGTTTTTCTGTTTTCCGCTTCTTCCAAGTCTCAAGGCTAGTCTCCCACACTTTCCGTACGCATACGCATATGCGCAATATGCCACACGCAGGGCATCATGGGCAAAATTTAGAGAGCCTGGCAATGTACCGATACCTTCGCACGGCTTTCCGATTTTATTTTATTTTTTGATTTTTTTAAACTTTTTCTTTGTCCCTTCTTTTTCTGAAAGTCCTTCTAGAAGGGTGTGTAGAAGCTAGACTAAGCCAGACAGAGTTAGGCCCGTCCTACAGCTTACAGGACGCCATCTCGATCCAACAATCCACCCGGCCGAGTGCTGTGGTTCTTCTAATGGGGGGCCGCAGGATTGCGTAGCAGCAGACAAGGGGACCGGCGCAGCACTAGCCGCTGCCGTATATCCACTCCCCGTACGGACACATCGCCATCGCCATCGGGGACGCGGGCGACGGCCGGGCGTTGAGACGGGATGCAAGCTTGTGAGTAGCAGAGTAGGTAGACTATCCGTACTTTAGGGTGGTTTGGAATCCATATGGGCGTGGCATACCAGTACCCTTAGGTTCCCCCCATCCATCTTGCTCGTGTCCGCCATCGGGAAACAAGAAGGGTCCGCGGGCGTCCAGGAGAGAGCGGTGTATCACACATCGCAGGTACCGGTAGCCAAGCACACCAAGGCACATCATTCCTTTTCCCCTATGTCGTGACACACGGGTCTTGCCTTGCCTTAGGCCGGGCTGGGCTGGGACTTGTCTCTGAATTCCCGGTGGGGGTGAGAACTTTCGTGAGTTTTGGTTCGCGAAAGACGAACAGACCTCGAACTTGGAGCAACGGCGTAAAAGTGTAAATTCCTTCTTCGCCTTCTTCGAAGCTTCCAAAATGCTTCCATAGGTGCTTCCACAGCCACCCACATCACACCTACAGTCTCACAGTCTCATTTTCCTCTCTTCTTCGGATGCACAAGAATGGAAACACGACGCCACGTCGCATCGAATGCCCGCAACAGCAGTTCCAAGCGCCACGGAGCGGAGGGGAAGCCTTAGGGTTGCCACGTTTCCCTCCCATCTCTGCACACCATCTCCGTGGCGTCGGATGGGTTGTGCTGCACAAGCACATGGCAAAGATGCCATGGCGAAAGGTAACTTTGATGACGATAATGGTACGTGGTGATGGCGTTGGATGGCGGCGGCGGCGGGATGGGTGTTGGCTGAACATAGCAGCTGAGTGGCTGTAGCCGACTGTACCTACACTTTTAGTACTTGCAGCGTGACATTAACTTGCGCTGGTTCATGAATCAAGCAGAGACCTGCTTCGTCTCGCCTTTCCAGAACAACTCTGTTGCTGAACTTTGGAAGCGGTGTACAACGTGCATCGTGCGGCTTGCGGCTTGCCATGTGCATGAGGTAGCACTGACCACGGCCACGACGAAAGCCCTCGAGGCGATCAACGTTGCCTGCCCGAAGAAACGAGCCGCCAAAACACGAACCAAACTCAAGCAACTTAGCATGGCCGCGGAAAGGGGGGGGGGGGGGGGGGAGGGGGGCTATAACGGCCGGTTAGATCCCCCCCTTGTTTTTTTTTCGAGTTTTACCCTTCTGCCACAAATCAGCGGGGGGGGGGGGGGGGGGGAGGGTAGCACGGCGGGGGGGGGGGGGGGGGGGGGGGGGGGGGGGGTAAGGGGGCTATAACGGCTCGTTAGATACCCTCCTTGTTCATTTTGCCAGTATTAGCCTTCTGCACGAAAGCAGGCGAGGCGTGCGAAGGGTCGAGATCATAACGCGTGGCAGCGTGGTAGGGCTCCAGATAGCCTTTTCCCCATGACATGAGACGTGCATTGCAGCCACGTGTCACGGGCAGCGCTATCTGTCAAGAAAAAAAAAAGCTATACATTTGATGCCATCACACGAACCCGAGCCGCCTGTCTCAGATGTTTCCATGCATCAGATTCTGCACGGGGCTGACTCGCAGGGAGGGGACATTCGACCTCTCTTGTGCCTTTCCTGCTTCGCTATGTGTGAGTGGGTGAGCGTGTGTGTATATCCGTATGCATATGTGTGTGTTTGTGTACACACCATAACATGTGGGAGTGGTGTTGCGCGCATGAACCAAGCAATCGAATACGGGCGCACACACCGATGCCATCCAAGATTTCTCGGTGATATCTTGGGCTTGTAGAAAATGAGAGCGGCGGTTAGAAGGAATCTGGTCGGAGTACGGACGGATACCAGTGCCTACGGTTCCGTCGTTGTATCGTGATGCTGCATTGACGATGCTGGCACGTACTACTGTATAGCAAGTGTTGTCGGGCATCAAGTAGTGCTGCAACACAGCCATCACACCTTGTCTATTGCCAAGCCAGCACGTGGACTGCAGCGAAGGCTCCAAACCGCATGAAGATGACCATGGGTTGACCATTTCAGGCCTCAGCCATGGACCCGTGTTGGGACGGATGGATGGTCGCGAGGGGACTTCTGTAGACTGCCATTGCGCTCTGACCAGCGGGAGTACAGAGCAGAATGGTCTTGTGAAGCACCGGAGAAACGACCAAGGGGGGAGAGGAGCATGGCGTCTCACGGGCTGCTTGCGAGATTAAGTATGAAGCATGACCGCTGCGGTCGTCGTTGATGATTTCGATTGGCAGATGGCGCTTTGGTTAAGCTTCCAGAAAGGGTCCAATTCGATTCGGGGTCGAGGACCGTGCGGCTGGGACGGGCAAGTTTCGGGGGCTTTCTTGACTGTAGACGGCATCTCTTTGCGATTCTTTTCCTTCTTGGGGTGAGTGTCTGTGGTGATGGTGGTGGTGCTAGTAGTGGTGCTAGTAGTGGTGCTAGTAGTGGTAAGGGGCGGATTTGTTGAGCACGGTGAACGAATGGTTGGCTGGCTGGCTGCTTCCGTAGCAGAACCGTAGAACAGAGCCGGAGATGGCGCTAGAATGGAGGGAAGAAGTCGGGCGAACGGTTTGGAGTGAAAGGAAGGTGAGCGTTGGGTGCGGAACGGAATACCTCAAGGTGAGGAGAGGTGAGGTGAAGGAGCGGGGCAGGGCAAGGGGAAGCGCGGCAAGGTGAGCACCTCACTTCTCTACATGCCTACGTAGTAGGAGATGTACTCCGTACGTACTACGGGCATGGAGCATTCATACGAATAGCTCAGGCGCGGTCCCCTGGGAGCGCGACGATGGGAAGGCACGGAGGGAAGGATGGGAAGCGATGGAGGGGTCGGGCAATGAGTGGGGACCTGGATAGTTAACGCTAAAACGGTCCGTATTAGGTAAAGCTGGTCGAGCGAGGTAAGGTACCTTACTTCGTACTCTGACTGCGTACTTGTAAGGTAACGCAACTACGATGTATCCGCACCTTAGGGTATCGTGCCTGCCTAGTAGCTAAGGCAGGCAAGACCCGGCAGAAGAAAGAGCACGAAGTTACGAACAATTAGGCGTTGGTAGGCTGTAGCACGTGTTGACGGTGGCTGGGTAGGGATCCGGCGAGGCGGCCGGCAAGAGATCAAACGGTGATAGGATGAGGCGCTCCGACGAAACGTTCCCCGTTCACGCCCATACGCACCTCAGTCTCCACCGCTGAACGCCCACGCCGCCCGTCCGATAACACGGCCGCAGCAGTGTTAGCACCGTGACCGTGACCGCAGAGTGACCGTAGCCGTGGCCGTGGCCGTGACCCCAGCCAGGGTCGGAGGGAAAACAGATCCCGAGCACGACCGATGGGAAGTTGCGATTGGCCTTGGCATATCACGTACGAGTATGTCCTTTAACCCTTGAGCCCCTGGGGTCCGCTACTAAGTGATGGGTATAGTGCTCAACGACGTAGTATTCAAGGGACTACCTGAGTTGCCCTGGCATAGACTCATGGAAAGGTTGATGCTTTGACGTTTGTTCCCCTTTTCTTCTTCTTTTCTTTATTTAAACTTTGAGCAGAGATGTAGTGATGGTGTAATTGGGACGGATGCCAAGACAAGTCAACCTCTCTCCCCGTGTGGGCTGGACTGGGGCGTAACCGGAGTACTTGGTGCACAACACGGGACGGGAAAGGCGGGAGAATCGCAGCGAGGAATGACCCGGGTTCGCATCCGGTGGAAGGCGAAGCTTCCGTCCCTGGAAACTCGGGAGTCGCAGCGGAGGCTCTGCCTTGAGCTGACTGGCCAAGTGATTGCACAAAAGTGAGTTGACATGAGGTAATGTGAGCTGATTTGGGAGCTCTCGCGCAGGGAGTATCCAGGCCGGAAGATTGCTGAAGAAGGCGGAGAAATGAAGACTTGTCCCAGGGTTACGGGCAGGCAAAGGATCGGGAGCAAGGCAGTGCCGGTAAACCGTAAAGAGGCAAGGCGGGGGTATTGAAGAATGGCAATGCAGGACAGGCATGACCGTGGATGGAAATCCGTAGGGCAGGGCGTAGCGCATTTGCGGGCGAGCATGGCAGCAACATCCGTCTTCTTATCCGATACAACCTCAAACCAGACCGCGTGGGATAGCACCTAGTAATCATTTAACATGTAAAGAGCACCTTTGAGAGTGCGAAGTGAATACCAAATCTGACCATTGAGGATACTGCGTTGCGTTAGTATGAAAGACACTGCAGTTTGGCGACCGGAAGGTGACCGGGCAGACAGAGAAGAAAAGAGCAAGGGGAAGCTGGAGCCGGACTCTTCCCAGCTCCGTTCAGATGGGAAACTGGGGAGAGCCGGGTTCAAGCGGAACATGTGGGCTAGAGTTGGACCTTCCCATGCTTGCCAAGTATTCGTAGTAGTATTATGGATAGAGAGTGGAAGCCTCCAGTATTCATGGGAGAGAAGCAAGCACCTATCAATGTGCGTCTCTGCAGTGTATCTACAAATTACCTCCTCCCTGGTCTGGATCACGGCGATGAGATGAGCAGCATATTAGCAGGAGCGATCCGGTGAATGACCATGGTTGGGCAGGTAACATGTGCTGCATACGTACACCCGGGACCCCCAGTTTGTTTGCTTTGCGAGAATGAGATGATGGCATGGCTTCTCCTCTTTGACACACAGACAAATTGTAAAGAAGGTATCCATATTGCGGCAAGGGCATATGGGATGGATAAGGGAGATTCTTCTCCCCACCTGCACGACGGTGGGAGGTGAGATGGTGGGCATTTACTTTTCTGGGAATCTCATGTTTGGTAATGAGAGATGAGCTACTTTGAAAGAGTGGCGCCTCGTACCGGGGTCAGTTTGACGAATCGATGTTGAAGAAGTATGCTGCGTGTCGAAACCTGAGGCGAGATGGCGGTATTTTCAAAGCAAAAAGAGGGCGTGCCAAACAGGCCCTCGCATCGCATCGCTGTCTGATAGACTTGAAAAGTCGCAACGAAAAAAAAAATACCGCACTCTGGATGTTTTTGAGACCGGGGTAAAGCGTTGAAAACGTATCGAACAGCAGTAACAGCAATGGGCACGGTTCCAGATTACGAAAGCGCACTACTTTGTACACATGAGCAGCAAGCTGTACCTTAAAAGTCAAGGACCTCTGCAGTACAGGTATCCGTGACTGAATTGAAGGTTGGGTTTGATGCCACTTCCCTGCACTCCATAGGTATCTGCTATTTCAGAAAGAGGCTCTCCAATGAGAGTAATGGCGCAATCCACTTTGTATGCCATGCCATGCCAAGGAAGCCCAATCAAGACGGAATGCACTTGCATTTGCATCAGCAATGTCATTTCCCGCAAGTAATACAGATACAGGCTGTAGATTATACCGTGGTTGAGTATCTGGAAAGTACTTGGCTACTTACTCATCTAGGTACGATGTGATGCTGCGCTGCGCTGCGGGGTGAAGTCAGTCAAGAAGTCAATCAGTCAGTCGTTCAGCTTGGATAGACAGTCCAGGCCTGGCCACGGCACTTCGTACAATGTTCAACGAATCCATGGCTGCATGAGTGTCTGCAGACGCATTGTGCATTTCTGTCTATGTTTTTTTTTTTTTTTTGGCACGGCTGAGAGGGCTGACTGGATGTTTAGGTTGCTAGCAAATGGCTCAGAACCGAGCGTGTCTCGTGAAAAGGCAAAGTCCATCAAACCCTCAAATCCTCAATCCTCAACCCTCCTCTTTTCCTTAGCGTGAAGTGAGAGAGGTACCTTACCTCATTGCCATGGATCATAGAGCGCGGTTGGGTGGGTCACTCCGGCTTTCGCCTGGCACCAGCAATCAGCTCTCTATGACCCCACTTTCGACTGAAGTACCCTCGAGCTGCAGAGTACTTGCTTAGAGGTTTGTACTCCTCGAAAAAAGGTACTTAGTCCCACCGAAGCCACTAGAAACACACCCATCTGCTCGATGCAGCCAAATGAGGACTGGCGTGTCAACTGGACGGGCTGATAGAAACCGTCAGCCAAGACCCTGCCTTGCCTGATCCCTGTCAGCATGTGGTGATCGACCGTGCAGGGACTACGGGACAGGGGAGATCCCTCTTCTTTCCCTTTTCGAAGCTCTCCCAGAAAACGGCAGGATACCCACAAGATGGGGTTTCCACTTTCCAATGTCTTTCCCTAGACCCCTGTCGGTTTGCCCGCTCGTGTGCCCCTCCCCCCTCCGCGTTCCCATCTGCACCAGACTGCAATCCCCCCTCCTCCTTCCCTCCCACTGCCTACACTACATCGTACCCCCCCGTTTTGGCCATGCGCGCCTGGCGATTGGATTGAGCCCAATGCGCCCGTTCATGCTCCCACCTTCTCATACTCCAAGGTATCCTCCCATTTCTCCTCAAAGTCTGTGATCCGTGATCCGTGATTCCGTGCGTTAATACGGGGTAACGGGAAATGGAAGGAAGTACAGAAGAGGAGAAAGGCAGAGAAGAGGCAAGGACAAGAGAGGGGGAACGAGAGAGGGAAACAGCGATGAATTGGCCTCCGACAGGCATACCATACATTGTTGTCAGTGAGTATCATCCCGCTGGCAACAAAAGCTTCGACGGGTGTCTCTGGTGTAAGGCAACTTCTTTCTGCCTTGTTTCAAGAGGGTTAAAAAAAAAAAAAAACACCCGGGCACCTCGAGCCCGGTTTTGCCCACTATTGCATTCACTCTCGCCCTCACAATGCCCAAAAAATACTACAATCTTTGGAAGAAACTCATCACATCCAATGTACTTCGCCATACCCAAGTATTTCTACATGAAGTATGTACACACCGGAAGCTCAGCTTGAAGCTCCGCGTTGACTATCTATGCATGCGGACGTCACCTTAGTATTGCGTAGCTCATGGCGATCTTTTCGGCCCCTCTTCACTCCCCTCTACTCTACTCTTCCTTTCGGCATCCCGAAGTCACACGTGTCTCCCAGCTTTCCCAACTATGCCCAAAATGGGTCGTTTCCGAGTGTGCAGAGTGTTTGGATGACAACGGCTCGCTGACACGCCGAGCCAACGACCTACAAGGACAGGGAACGTCACTTTGAATCAACCTAGCCAGTCGCCGTCGACCCTTCAATTTTCATCTTCAAAACCTGAGGTATCCAAACATTGACATGCAATAATCGCACCAGACCCGTCACCCATACGTAAACCAACCATACATATCTAGACCAAAAAGCGTGGGAAACCATAAACTCAAGTCATCTGGAATGGTCTGTCCTTCATTGACTTGGGTCGTGACTCGGACCCTTTCCGTCCATGGTTATGAAGCCATCCTGTCCCAAGCGACGAACGAGTGAGCTCTCTTTCAGCCCCCCCTTCCTGTCAGCAACCTGCATATCATGTGATTGCCATGGTCTGACACCTTTTGTCAAACACTCTCCAGCCTCAACTTTGACAAGCTTCCATCAAGGGCTTTCGAAGCTTCCAAAGAAGCCCGCCCTCCACTTCGTGTTGTCTTGCCACAAACTAAGCCCATCTACCGAACAAAAACTTGAATGAACGCTATCGTTGGACGACGGCCTGACCGAGACTCGGTATGGATAGTTCAGGCGAGATCGTCAACTCTGCTGTTCTCTGAGAAGTATGAGAAATGAGACTTGAAGCCACATTCCGGTTCAGATAAGTCCGGGTTAGACGAGGCAAGACTGAACCGGTAGCAAAGTGAGAACCAATGACACGGGCCCGGAGCATCCCATAGAACAAGAATTTGAAGGTGGACTGTGTGTGGGAGGAGGTTGGACGTTGCACGTTGCAGAATCCCCCCGAGCCCCACCACTGCTTGTTTAGACGGCGTCGTTTTGCCAGTCTTTTTTGCTTTTGTTACGATTGCCAAGTATCCGTAACGCCAGACCGAATACTCTCCAGTCCCTGGATTACATCAGGTGGATAGCAAATAGCTTGGTTCGTTTCGTCTCCATGTAACCAATTGTGAGGCTGGTCATCCAGACAGCATGTAACTTGGCGTCTTGCCAATGTCCCGTGTAGGACTCTTTTGGACCGTGCCTAGGCCATACCGTAGACTACTGACAATTAAAGGTTTATCTATGGATGACCCGTTCATGGCTTCCATTGAAGAAGTGAAAGCCGGGAACAGGCATGTTGGCCCGGATCGGCATCGGAGCGGTCAAGGGAGGGGAGAAGTTGAGCAGGTGTGGGCGGATGGAACCAGAGGAAAGGTATCTGTGTGGATGACGGAAGGCGGGATTTGCAGAGGGCCCAGCAAGGTGCCGGGTCTTTTCCCTCCCTGAAGGTGGACGTACGGAGGACGTACGGATACATACATACTAACATTGGGTGGTGCGGATAGGTAAGGTCAGTATGTAGCTTATCTTTGTTTTGTCCATCCCCTGAGCTTGTATTTCTTTTGTTTTGAACTACCGCCGGAGGGGCCAGTGATGTGCTCCCAGTCCGCGATCAAAGAGAAGAGCGACGACCAGGTTATTAAAGATATGTTCGGGGTTGGCTGGGGCTCTTCGGGGCAATCGTACTGGAAATGGGATACAGCGCCGGGAATTGGCTGGACCCCCCACTCCCCTCGAGGCTCGGTCTCTGCGGTCCCCCTCGGTCTCTTGGTGGGTGCGAGCGGGAAAGTGTCAAAGCACCCTGCCAATGCCAGTGCTTTCCGCCCGTCATCGGGGGGCACCGGGGGCCGGACTTGAGGTCCGTGGTTTTCCTTACCTAAGGCAACTGAGGTGCACACACGCTCCTACTTCACCTGGGGTCGAGGTTAGAGGCTGTTGAGTGCCTTGGATATCAGGTGTCGGTAAAGCATGGGAACGAGGACATGATATGGAGTACGTACCCTGTCTCTCACGGGACCGTACGGTCTTACCCCCTCATCCTCCCGACACACTGCCATTCCCGCCTGCCACCTATGGCAGCACCAACACCGGACGGGAGGGATCGCCTCACCTCTTGGAAAATTCCATCTTCGGCGCTAGAACAAATCTCCTGCATCGGTCCTGCACCGCTTCTGCAGCGTCTAAACAGCCCGCCGTCACGCTACAGCCTTCCTTGCTTTCTGCTAAGTTTCCAACGTACCTAGCGTAAGGTACTTTGGTCAAAGTATTTCTGCGCCACAAATCATCTACGCTACGGAGCGCAGAATAGCTTAGTAGGGACGGAGACCTACACTACTACGTACAACAGAAACACCTACCTCCTCAGTACGGCATTCCACATGACTGGCGTCTTTCAACTGCATCTTAGGTTCGAGAAATGTTGGTTTCATACCGTCTTGATACACCATCCATACGCCATCTTCCATCTTGCTCTTCGCCGTCGATATGCATAGAACTGAGTGCAAGGCGAGGGTGAGCAGCAATTCTCCGCCTTTCCGCTTCACTTCACTCGATTCCCTCCATTCTAAGAAAGGAGCACCATGGCACCACACGGAGGACATATCCGTGCTTCACACAGCCCAACACACAACACCAGGATCGAGCAGACGGATAAGGCGCGTCAAGGGACAGCCTACAGTCCGTGCTTCTTCTTCTTCTTCCTCTTCTCCTCATCCTCGCCCACTCCGTCAGCCTTGAACCGGAGTATGTGTGTTCCGCACCCACACGTCGGGTATCCCGTACTTATACTAGGCTCGTTCGAGGAATTAGTAGAAGAAGTGGGTAGCCGCTATACTAAGTAGCTCTAGCTAACTCTATTAATTAGGTAGACTTAATATTAGCCTAGGTAATGCGATTATATAATTATTATATTACTTTTTTATTAACTATATATCTATGCTTTTATATAGATTTAGCTACTTAATTTTTATTTTTTTATATTTCCCTTAAGCTCTTTTTAATAAATTTAATAAATAATTTAATTAATAGCCTTTTTATAAAAGTATAGCTATATTAAAAAAACCTTAAGTATAGGGTAAATAAGCTAAAGTTAAGGAAGCGATAAGACGGCTCTTTATTATACTTAGATTTTATATATAAGCGTAGCGGTAAGCCTTAACTATTAGTAACAAAGTAGCGGTAAATAATAACGTTAAAAACGGGCTACCCCTAGAGGGCTTATATATACTAATACCCTAACTTATTTAATAAGTATAAAATAAGTATAATATATAATAAGTATAATTACGAATTATTAGTAGTAAAATTATATTTATTAAGCCGGGTCTTTTACGAGCTTAGCTAGTAAGACTTTAGTAAAGAGGCGGTTAGTATAAGGGTAGAGTTATTATTATTAACTAAAAGACTTACTTTTACTTATATTACTATTTAAATACGTAATAATATAAGTATACTTATTTAACAATAGGACGTTATAAATATTTAAAAAAAGCTTTAGTAAGAAAAGTACGGCCTACTTTCTTTTACGTAGATCTTTTTATAAGAGCTTAATACGAATAATAATATAGTATTTTTAATAATTTATTATAGCCCCGTAATAGGTAAGATTAATAGTGTGTTTTAGTCGTACGTATAGTACGTTAAAATATAGAAAAGGAATCCTAAATTATTTATAATAGATAATATTTATAAGGTAAGTAATTATATAGTTAGAAGTTATTAAAACTTACTAATTATATAAATTAACTACTTTAATATACCGCTTTTTTAAGTTAATAATATAACTTCTATTTATATTATATTTAATGCGGCTTTTTGCTTTATATTAAGTAAAGATACGAAAACTTTTAAATAAGTACTAAGTTAGTTAAAATTAGTATATAAAGAAAGAGAAATTCTATAACTAAGAGTAATTATTATAGACTTTAATAATGTACTAAAAAAGGTAGTAAGGGCAGTATTTTTAAATATACTATAATAAATCTACTTATAGTATATTTTTAAAAATGTAATATTAAATATTAAGTAGAAGTAGGATAGGGTATATAAGAAAGGATCCGTAACTATTTAAAATCTTTACGAGGCTACTTCCGAGCCTCGCTTAATAGAGCTAGAAAATCTCTTACTTAGTACTAAAAGTGGGTTACTAGAATAAATAAAGGGCTCTAGTTAGCTTAATTTTACTAGCGTAGTTTTAGTAAATCTTTAGGAATAAATTAACTAAGTAAGAATTATAGAAAGTAAGGATCTTATAGCTAGCCCGCTAGGTTAATTTTTAACTTACGAATTATTTTAATTAATATAACCCGTTAATAACAATTTAATACCCTTAATTAATTTATTAATTTTACTATTTCCACAGCTTTTAATTATATTAATTTTATTATTAAATTTATATAAGTAAATACTTAATAAAATTCTCGAGGCTTAGTATACGTACGTTTACGTTAGGACCGAAAAGGATTTTAATTACCGCTAAGCTATATTTTATAAAATTTTTAACTTTACGTAATTATAAATCGTTTTTTATTTTAAGGAGGTTTACGTACCTTTTTATAGGCAATTTTATACTTATTACGTTAATTATATATAGAATTATAGTATTAAAGTTATGTTATATATAGAGTCTATTTATTACGAGTTAAAGTCGTACTTACGTAATTAGCTCGCTAGTTTTTACGGTTTTTAATTTATTATAATTAAAATAGTTTATATAAAGTAATTATAATTTAAAAAAGAAGTGGGTAAATAAAAGTATTATATTAAGGCTATCTATTTTTATATATTAATAATATAAAAGCTTTTATTAATAATCTCTTTTTAGGTATTTAATAAAATCTAGGAGTAATTTTATATTATTAACGAGGTCTTTTATAACTAGTTTTATACGAAGCGGCTATTACCCTATAGTAGTACTTTTTTAAGCTAATAGGGCCTATTTTATTATTACGACCTCTTTAACTATTTTAAGTTAAGTAACTTAGCTTAGTTACTTACGAGAGACGATATTAATTATTATTAGTAATTAGATTATGATTTAGTACGTTAGTATTAGAATTTTTATTAAAAAAACCTTAACTAACGTTTTTTATCTTATTTTAGTTTAAAATTATTACTCTATAAAAAGTAACTCGTAAGCTTAACTTAGATATAATTAGGTTACGTATTAACTATTAATAAGCTACCCCGATTATTATTAATAATAATACCCTCTATAATAGGCTAATTATACTTTTTTAGGGCTAGAATATTGCCCTTAGCTTATATAATAATTCTATTTTATAAGAGCTTTTTATTTTTAAATACGACTTATTACTATAGTAAAGTATTACCCCTATTTTTATATTAGTACTTATAAAGCTAAGAAAAAAGTAAAAAACTACTACTAAGGTTATTAATAAGTAGTTAGTTAGTACGTTACGAAATATTATTATATTTATTATTAATACTTAATTTAACGTACGGCTTAGTAAGTTAATTACTAAAATAAGGAGATTATAGTACCCTTAACTACTACTATAGTATTATATTTAGTAATCTTATTACCCTTACGGCGTATTTTTTTTATTAAATTAATAATAATACTATTACTTCGTAAGCTTATCGATACTTTTACTATAGCTATAGCCGTAATTAAGCTAGTAATATAATAAATAATAGGGGGGTAACTAGCTAAATTAGCTAAGCCCGAGCCTAGGTAAGCGGGAGTAGGAATTCTAATATTATAATAGTTAATTCGGTAGATAATTATATATTAAGCTATTATAAACTCGTAATTATTAACGTAGTAATTTCTGTAGTAGTGTTACTAGTAAAGTAAATATTAGGGCTGTGCTGGCCTAGTTTCTATTAAATCGAGCCTAGTATGGGTGCGGGATACCCGACGTGTGGGTGCGGAATACACATACTCTTGAACCGCCCTCTCCTAGCTCCAGCAAGCAAGCATCTTTCATTACCCCCGCCCCAGTCCTCTCCGATCCAGCTCGGCTTAACTTCGCACTTGACCGACGATGAACCAGGGCAAGGCGTCTTAGAGATGCTATACACAGCAGCTTAGCGTCCAAAAAGGAGCCCTCTGCAGAGTACTTTGCCTTACAAGGCCGCTACCCTCGTTCAAGGGGGATCGAAATCCGTTACAGACGCCTGTGAGCGCGCACGAAACCCTGCTGTCTGCTCGAGGCCCCTGGTAAACTCAATGCCAATTCCAAAAACCTCGACAAGGCCATTTTATACCATAAGCGGAAAGATGGTGCTTGGCACGGTAAGGTACGGGTAAGGAGAGTTAACCGGCCGGTAGGTTAGGTTTTACGACTAGGTCGAGTGGGCAGACAATGAGCCAGACCCAGACCGACCCGAACCAGAACCAGGACAGAGGAACCCTCAACCCAATCCCCTAGGGCCCCCCAAAGCTGAGCGGTGTGTGTGGAACACTGATCCTCGACCACTGGTAGTTGCTCGGCACTTTCCGGTCCAGGATTCGGCTCCCTGCTTTTCGGGGCAGTGAAATCCGGCGATTTTTACATCATCGCCAAAACGCCGGATGCTGAAAGGCTCCGGTGGTGCTTCAACCCCCGTCCAAGACTCTCGAAACCCTAGTCCTGGACCTGGCAACACTCGAGAGCGGGCACAGTTACTGGCTAGTGGAAACCCCTCACGACCCAGCTCCCAGCTCACAGCTGTGTCTACCACCAGCACCAGCTCCAGCTCGAACCCCAGCCCCGGCCGGCGGGGTAGCAAGAACGCTGCGCTGGGACTCGATTGGATTGGATGAATTCCTCGCTGGTTTAACCTCGCGTCACCACCTGACAACCCTCGACCCAGATATCGTCCACCAAAGTGAAGGGCACAGCACACCAGAAGGCGCAGGCGTAAGGCGCAGACACGATAGCATCAACTCTGATGCCCTCGCTATCTATGTAATGCGGTTGCCCATGGCCTTGATTAACGCTCGGGCGCTCATCTCTCCCTAGGTTCATAGCTGGAAAGCGCTACGCCTCAAAGGGTCAAAATTTTGACCAAACAGATGACTGCTACTACCTTATGTCGAAGCTCAGCTAAGGCAGGTGTTTCCGCGAGAATTCACCTCAAGTCGGGGGGTTGCAGGTTCTAAGGCAGGGGAGAATTCAAAGACCACCAGAGCTTCGGTCCAAAGTGGAAAAGCTTACCTGGAGATGTGCGGCCGCCTTTACTTCTTCACCCACCTCACACAATCTGCCCTGCGAATTTCCAGCCTACCTGACCGTTACGGATACCTTGCTTTAGTCCCCGTTCTGGCCTACACTACGAATACGGATACAGATACAGAAACTCCATAATCCACCCTGCCGCATCGACCATCACCAAAAGGGTTCATTGTAAGACCCATGACAACCTTGGACAATTATTGACGGGTCAGCTCAACCTTTCCCCCGGTTTTCAGCGTCGCATTTTCATCCATATCCTGTTGCGGGACGGAGTGGGCGACGCACCAACCCTCCGGCAATATCCTCATATCCTCTTCCCCGTCACCTTCAGGGGCCCTGGAACGGGATGAGGAGAAAAATAACCCAAGTCAGCCAGCTGTCAAATAAAAAACCAAACGAGACGGCCAAATGAACCTAGTCCTGCTTGTATGTACACAGCACCTGGCAAGCGGGCGAATGGTCCGCCCGCATCAGCGCCGCCCACTCGTCCCGAGCCCACGGGGCGTTCTGATGCCGTTGAATTCTGATGTATCGGTGCATCCCCGGTTCGAACATGGCCAACCTGGTACTGTCGGACCTGGCCCGGCCGGGTCATTACTGCCCTTGATAGAGTGCTTTTGCATGCGTCAATACTGTCTGCTTGCGGATACGTAGGGTACGAATACACACGCTCGCACTGCCTTTCATCCAAAGTTGCTTGGCGCCAAAGTGTTTACCCAGAACTTGGTTTCTTGCCATTTCTGAGAGCAGTCTGACTTGGAGTTGGTCGTCTTCGTCGACGAAATGCCAGACACCACCCTGCAGAGCGGACGAAACCCGCAAGCCAAGCCTCGATTCAGGATGATGGCCCCTGGCTGGGACTGGGTACGTATCCCATCTCTCCCAGCCCATCCCCTGCCATTCAGTCACAGTGACTCCGCGACTCCGCGACTCCTCTGATCGCTGATAGTTCACTGCCTTTTAATCTATCGCTAGCGCGGTGGTCTACATCACTTACGTATTCTCAGGAGTTTGCCTTGGAAGGCGCCAAACTCTAAAGCGCTTCCTGTCGTCAGGTTTTCGATCGTCTGATGCATCTCGACACTTGCGGAGACAGCAACTTGCATACGCGATAGAGAGAGGGGGCAGATGTATTACACGTCGACCCATAATATCATGTCGGCTTGCGCGAAGCGAAAGCTACTGGAGCGTTCGTGGTATGCGCCTAGCCCGTTGACGAGGTCCAGTTGAGTTGAGATGTAAGACCTCTTGAACACCAGATCTCGACTTTACAAGTGACGCTATTCTGCATCTGTCAGCGCCCGCTGTGAGACAAGATCGGCCAAGACGGCGACGGCAACACGATCGTTCCAAGGCAGAACAAGTTGTGGAGGCAGACTGCAGTCCGCAGACATCGCCAATATCTCCCTCGATCAATTCTGTCTTGATTCTCGGAGTCCGGACCTCTGCATAGCGGACACTACGAAACCCAGAACCAAGACTCAAGACCTCCGACGAACTGGTACTTGGGTCTGGCTCCTCTCTCTATGGGCCCGCCACGTTCGCTACCTACCATCGCCCCTCCTCCGGCGTGCCTATGTTGATTACTCCGTACCTCCGCCGGTCGCCCACGAACATTCATGCGCGTCTGGCTCTAGCGGCTGACCCTGAGCGCACGCGCGTTCGTCGTATGCATTGCTGGCTAGACAAAGATGGTGGCAGTGGTTGTGGCTCATACACAGCAGCCTCTCGGAAGATAGGTAAGGCGTAGAGCATTTCTTGACAGGGCTCAGACCGAAGCAAGTCTAGGAAGGGCGGTCAATTTGTCGCCAGTACCACCTTGAATGAATTGATTATCTCGGGCTCCGCATCGTGTCGACCATCTCCTTGGACAACCCACATTGTACAAGTTGCAACATACGTAGTATTCAACGAAATGGAGCACAGGAGCACTGGAGCACGCCCAGAGATATGGAGGGGCCCGGGTGCGGCACAGGAAAGAGAGAGAGCGAGGCTTAACTCGTCCAAGACTCCCAAGTGGAGGTGACATCTTGCAGGAGAACCCACTCCACGTCACAGCATATCCATGCCATTCCTCCCCTCAACACCCGAGCCCAAAACACACTCATTCTCATCTTCTTGCACCCCCACCGGGAATGGGGAAAGGAAGACATGTCGAGAGGGGCAAGGGAGGATAATGGGGCGTCAGTGGGATGGTCCATATCCAGATCGGCGTCTACGAGGCACGACACGGCTGGCGCAATATCGCTGCTTCCCAGGTCTCTGGTATTGTACACACGGCCTGCTGCCGTCCTTGGATCATTAGATGGTCCCATGTTGCTCTCAAATTAGAATAAGAATACTGCTAGTGTAGCAGACACCCGCCGACCAGGCCGATACCCTTCACCCCCGTCCGTCCCCATCGCACCTTTCAGATCAACAGCATGTGCGTTTGGTTGGCCGTTGTGATGGTTTTGCCAAGTCGGGGGGATTCCTGTCGCTTCCCTCTCCCATCGGCTAATTTATCACATCGCTTAAGATAGCAGCATGCGCTTAGAAGATCCCTTCCTCGACGAGACAGTTGAGCTGTGAGGCTCTGGGCTTCTATCATTTTTGATACATGCCACGAACAGCGATCAAGGACCAGGGCCGGCTGTTCACTTCGGGAACCCGGTGGAACTAAGTAATCATGTATTGATTGCATTTGTGGATGACGGGCTGTAATGATTGACCGACCGTCAGGTCGACCGCTTTCTGATGTTTCTGTTTGTTTTTCTTGTCTTTTTTTGGCGAGTCTTCACAGGTCCATTGGGGGTCTCTGCTCATCATCTTTTCAAGGTGTTGCATGGGACTGGCCGAGTTGCTTGTCACCCCGATAGACACGAACTGCTAACCATACCGGATGAAGAGAAGAGGGAGAGGGTCCAAGCAACGTTGACGATACTGCGACCTTCTCTTCCCAGGGTTTTCGATGCGCCCATTCAGGCTTGGCCTTGCTCGTTTCCGCTCGGATCGAGGAAAATTGAACACAGAGTTCACCGGTGTAGGAGTGTGAGTGGATACGCCCAGCTCGATTCTACCTTACTCTGAATCTATGGATCTTTTTCTGCTCACATCAGGAGACGAGAGAGATTGGCCTCTTTGCAACAGAGAGATTGAAGGCAGAAATATGAGGTGGGAAGCGTTCGAGCGATAGATTGAATTTCATTTACAAACCACCACTACAGCAGGGCGTTGCAGAAGGAGGACGGGCAGAGCGGGCACTCGCGCGGTTTGTGCGTCTATCCATTCGGCAAGGGCGCCTCCCCTTGTCTGAGGGACCCCCCATGTTAACCGTCTACGGTTCCCTGCCCCTCTGTCTCTTATTGCCAATTGCAACTCGTTGGTACCACCATCTACTATGGCAAATGTGGGCTCTTTCTTGTCTGATGGGCGCGGCGATCCGGACATAGACTTTTTCTTTACCTTGTCATCCTGTCTCGATCTCCTTCTTGTCTCCGGCCGAGAGAGAGCTGACCTGGTCGAGTCTTTGGTGGTGCGGTTACCGGTCCCCTAGCTAAGCCCTGTCAACAGTTCAATGGGAACATGGGTCCTTGTGATGTCAGCAGGGCGAAAGACAACACAGCAGCAGCCAGCGCCCGGCCCGGCTCGGCTCAGTATGGTCAGAGGAGATGGAACGCATCCTATCGGACAGCATTAAGCCAACCTAATGACCAAAGCGAGAGACAGAGAGAGGGACAGGCAGAAGCAGAGAAAGTGTAAAACGGTTAAGACGGCTTTCCTTGATTGGACCATGCTCATCTGAGGAGACAGACACAAAAAAAGGCACTTTCCGTCGACAGCTCTTGCAAGGTCTTTTACAGCTCATTTGCATACTGCATAGCGAGGAGCAAAAGAAAAGTCTTGGACTTTGCAGGTTGGAGACCCTCTCTCTCTCTCCATCTCAATGAGCCAAAAAGAGATAGACCTTGACCCCCCCCCCCCTTTCGGTTGGATCAAGTCTCATCACTTGTGTGAAGGAGCTGCAGGACGGAGTTTCCGTAGTATGACCATGCCATGATGCGTAATGGGGTAATGGGGGTGGTCACTGGATGGATGGGTGGTGGGTGGTTTGTCTGAGGTATCTATCCCATCTCCCATCTCTCCCTCTCTCTCTCTCTCCTTTCGTCTACAGCCCAGCCATGCAGAAAACGCTCCCGCAGGCGAGGAGCAGGGGTAGCCAACATAGAGTTTTCGACTGTTGCCGTTCTTTCCAAGATTTGGTCTTGGTATACTTGGTATTACTATTAGGTATTCTGGTTCGGTTCCTCGGATTAGTCCAGACTCCCAAACACGCAACCGAAGTTGACCCTCTCTCTCGGTTCGAAGTCTCTCTCTCTCTCTCTCTGTCTCTCGTCGGAGTCTCTGTCCCTTTTCTCACTGCGGCATCTCGTTGCGGCATTGTGGTAGCCGGGGGTGTACTATAGTCTATACTCCCGTAGTGTTGTGTGACAGGCAAAACGCGACTCGAGGGAGTTGATGATCGGCGGTCCCTATGTTGTCATCATCTGCCTTTCTAGACGACAGAGTTCCATCCCGAAACTACCCAAAATCAACTAGCGACCCCATCTCTGTCGAATCTCATGCCCTTTCCCTCCTGCCCACACGTCTCCCGCGCGCGCTCGACTGAACTCATGAAAGCATCGTGGGCACATGATGTTGCAACCAAGTCCTTGGAGTTAAAGATCACGAGTCGATAGGACCACTTTCTCTCTCCAAAGCATGTGTTTGTGTAAAATCTGTTCATCAAATTTTGTGGTTTGTTTCTGGCGAGGTCTGGATGAGATTTATCCTCTCCAGCCCGCTTAACTATGGTTAAACATCAAAAAGTCCATATTCACATTCTTTTAATTCCATCCCAGAATGTGTGTGTATCATCCCCCGTTTCCCCAAGAAAGTCTAAAACCGCCCAATGGTTTGGTACCCAAAATGATGATAAACAAAAGACGAGGAAATAAGAAAACCTCCAAAAATCCTGTAAAGCGCCTTCCTTTCTCCAAGTCTCTCGGCAGTTTGAACAACAATAAAAAAGCAGTGATAATTTGGGGTTGGTCGCAGAAGTCCTCCACCCTATTTCTGATGTACCGGTATCGCGGGTAAAAAGAAGAAGGAAAAAAAGTCGTGAGTGAAAAGAATAGAAGCAATCCCAGCCACCATGCTCTCCTGGCCCGCATTCGAATGCCATGACGAAGCCAACCCGTTTTTGTTTTTATCTACTACAACAGACCCAATCAGGCAAAGTGTGTGTGTGCGCGCGCGTGTGTGTGTGTTTGATGTGTTTCCCCCTTGAGAGGTCCCATCCCATTCCAGCTAGAATGAAACTCCATTCTCATAACAAAGGAGGAAGGAGGACGTGAAAGAAAATTGGAAACTAATAGCTCCGAGTTGTGAAGTATGGACAAGTAGATAGGTGAAGAATTTGGCGCCAAGTATCGTATGCGTCTCAGGAACCTTCGACTGCAACACAGCCACGAAGTTCGGGGTAACGGCGAACAAAGTTCTCATTGAGGCGCCAGTTTTCGAGGCGCATTGCGTGTGTAGTAAACGTGTCGCTAAGCCACATCTCTCCAGATTGCGGGTCGACCACCAAGGCGTCAATTGGCCGGCATGGCCAATTGATCAGTCTCAAGCTAGACGAGTATACGCCTTGAAATTCTTCGTTCGCGTACAACTCCTGGCGTTCGATAATGGCAATGCGCAGAGGTGCCCACAGGATGAGATCAACCCACTGAGGATGCGGGATTCTAGTCTGGCACGGTTTCGGTGTGAGTTCAGGCACAATGGCCTGGTAGGCCTCACGCGTTGGGTGCACCAGCCAGGCGATGGCTCGTTGGATGACGGCGAAGACCGCTAAGCGTTCAATGACGTTGGTGACACCTGCCTTGTTGACGAGAGCGGTGATGAGCTCAGCCATGGGGTGCTTGACGCCGGGACCCGTGACTGTTGTGGAAGCAGCTCGATCAAGGTCGGCTAGCTGGCATCGTGGAGGTTCTGTTGTAGGCGAAGCCGGATGATACTCGAGGAAATTCTTCACATTGACCCTAGCAGGTCGGAGGAGGTTGTCGAGAGACTTCAGTTGTGACAGTCGGCGGCAGTCCTGTATGAAGCCGACAATCAACTGGTCGATTCGACAAGTCGGCGGGACGATGAGGGTCGGAATCTCCCAAAGGGTGGTGCCAGGCTGGCGAATCAATGAGCTGACGGTTGTTGGTAGTACACCGGAGTTGGATACGAATTCCACGACTGCTGGTGATGAAGATACGGCTGATGATGATGAGAGATGGGAACCTGCGACTGATGAGGCATTGAGTGGTGACTGTGAGGGTATCCAGCGTCTAGAAGCTGAGTGGTTAGCGTCTCAGAATTGCGTTGCAACCCAACCACCGGACATAGGGAAGACAACTTACCAGAGTCGACATCATCATATTCACTCATCTTTGCCGGAATGCTTCGGGCATCCATCATCGGCGCGGGGACGCTCGTGGGGATGTAGCCTGCGCCGTACTCATCGGTGTTGGCGGATGATGACGGGCTTGAAACGGTCGAAGGAACGGAGACGGGAATGCCTGGGCCCCATGACTCTGACGCATCCGGCATGGGCACGTAAGAGGGACCGAGTTCTTGCATGACGTTGTAGTCACCGTTTGATGGAAATGGCGAGGATCGAGGACTGGGGACTGCGCCGCTAATAGAGCTCAGATTGTCGTCGTACACTGGAGCCGAGTCAGCACGAACCAGAGGCAGCCAGGCAGAAGACGAGGCAATGGAAGCAGCCGTACCTGAGTTTGGGTAGGACTGCCCGTTGGGAACGCCCATGCTCTCTCTGAGCTTGAACAATTCCTCTTCAAGTGCCTTGTTCTTGCGCAAAAGCTCCTGGACGGTCTGGCTCTGATCGCGGCCGCGCTCGCTCTTGAGCTCCTCAAGCTCGCGCTCAAGACGCTCAATGTGCTCTTTCGTTCTAGCTCTGATGGCGCGCTGTGCTTCTCTGTCATTGGCACGCTTACGCGCAAGCTGGGAGGGCGTCAGGGTTGAGACGCTTCTGGTGCCTGTTGAGGAAGGCGTCCAAGTCAATATATCATTCGTACATGAGAACGTGGAAGGGGACGATGGTGGTAGAGTAGGAGCTAAGGAGGGAGGTGGGGGATGATCGAGGCGAAGACGGCAGAAGGGTAGAATCGCATAACCGCCGCCGCCGTCGTCGACATCTCATGAGGGGTGCTGGTGATGCGTACCCTTGCGCTTGGTGGGCTTCGTAGGCTCTGCAGAAGCTGATCGTGTCATGTTGTCGGCGGCGTACTTCTCGTCGTGGTGTGCAACAACGGTAATGGTAACAGGTCTGGATCGAGTGTTGGCAACGGCAGTATGGGCCATGCTCTAAGGCAGAAGACTGAATGTAGGAAGAGAGAGACGGGTCTGGCGACGAGGTGAAGTTGTTTGTTGTTCGAGTTGTCAAGGCAGGGATCAAATCAAGAAGATCGAGAGGAGCGCATCTTGGAGTTATAAGATCTATTGACGACAGGAGCAGACACAAGAACAGGCCCTTCGAATGCCGGCGGCAAAGTAGTTTCAGGGCAGCTAGGAGAGACGAGTACCTCAGTACGAAGGTACGTACTGGATGAGCATGGATCTAGGGGTTAGAGAAGGAGACAGGGCCAGTGACTTTTGGTAAAGGTTGAGGATGAAGAGAGACAAGACAAGCAAGAAGAGGAAAAGGTACGTACTGTACCGTACCGCTACCTCCTAGGTCCATGAAGGGCACTAGAAGTAGCAGCACATAAGGTAGGGAAGTCTGGAGCAGGGGTTCGATGGAGATGCAAGCATCCGGGCTAAAGCAGCCCAGTCTCGAGGGCAAGGACGTGGGACTGTACCGTAAGTGAGGTGGTAGGTAGGGGAGTGTATTCGTAGGTGTAGGGTGAGAATGGAAAGGATGGCAGAGCAGAGAGATCACGCCGCGTAGAAAGTATCCAAGGAGCCGTAGGTACAACGGGCCCTGAGTGCTTCGAAGACAGAGGAAGGGTTGAGAGTATCGGTGAAGAGACGTAACTTGGCACATGACAGTCGATGTTGGGCACAGACATGGCGCAAATTACTAACTCACTTGAGAACAACTTACAGATCTCCCAAGGATGGGCTGGGGGATAGAGGGGAGTGGCAGGGGTCTGATCAGAGGAGAGGGACAAGACAGCGGCAGGGAACATGGGAGAAGGCGAAGAAGAGGACGAGAGAAGCGGGTGAGGCAAGGCAGCGAGCAGGACGGGACCGGGGGGGGGTGGAAGTTGCACAGATTCACTCGACTGCAGCGATGTAGACATGTACCTTCCGACTGCCAGTTACCCATCGGCCTCGACGGGGCAGGGGTGTGAAGAAGGAGGGGGTGTGGGAGAAGAGGGGGTGCGTGATGGTAAGAGGGGGCGTGAGATGAAACCAGGGGAGGCGTGAGGGACAACCTTGTGTGAGGTGAATCTAGGAGAACAACAGAAGTGAGAACTGTGAGATGCCTCTTTACCTTAGGTAATGTGATGGATGGGCCACCACATTCGCATGCCTGGGATACGGGTGCCTTTTTTTTTTTTTTTTTTTTTTTTTTTTTTTTTTTTTTTTTTTTTTTTTTCTTTTTGATTTTTTTTTTTTTTTTTTTTTTTTTTTTGTTGTTTTTTTTTTTTTTTTTTTTTTTTTTTTTTTTTTTTTTTTTTTTTTTTTTTTTTTTTTTTTTTGCTGCGTGTGCCTCATAGTGGGAAACTACGTGTTTTGACGCGGAGGCAACAAGCTTCTTCAAGTTACTTTGAAGGTGTAACTAGTCGCCGCGGAAATCGAGCGAGGAATTGCTGCGAGCCAGATTCCGCCGCTGTGCCGGTATCCAGGCTGGGCAGCATTCTTCCCCCAAACCAAAGAACATTCGTTCGGTTAGGTTTTGGGTTTGTCTTTCCTCTGGTCCTCGTTGTGTCTGTCTGGAGACTGGAGAGAGAGAGAGAGAGTAGGTGTGAGAGCGAGCGAGAGTTGGGGCAGGGTAACGGGAAGGAAGTGCTCTCTCTCACGGATACTGTATCTGCAGGGGGAGATCCTCAAGCAGTAGCAGTCGATGTGGGTGGGCAACCTCCTGCCCCGTGATTGTGGCTCTTGCTGGCTCGAGTCCGACTCTCGATCTCAGCGAACGGGTTCCCGGTGGGGTTGCTTATCCGTACCGCAGGTAGGGAAACGTAAACGGGGTCAAAGGTAAGTAAGGCAAGCATAGAGTTGGGAAAAGGTTAGCTGCTGGGCTGGGTGAGGTGACGAAGGGCAAAGCCGGCAAGGAATGGGCAAAGCAAGGCAAGGCAAAGCCAGGGTTACGGGAAAGGAAAAGGTACCCAGGTGCCTTGTCGGATCCGTTGAAGTTGACAACCAAATCAAACTCCGACTCCTCCTCCCGCACTTGACCTTGTATGGTCTTGCGGATTGCCTTGCCCTGCCATGGCCCATAAACGCTGCTATACCCTCCCATGGGCCATGGCCCTGTCCTGTCCGCCTTATCCATAAATGCGTATGAGGAGGTGGGCTCGCTGAAGAAAGACGAGATAATCCCGTCTGGGCTTACATATTGCGTTGACCTGACGGCTCGGAACGGGGGGGCCTTGCAAAGCGGGTGACGAGTCCTGTTGAATACCAGCATCTACGAGGACGAACGAGGAACTCTGAAAAGCAACAGTCCCGTCCGGCTGATGCTCGGAATAGCCACACCCATGGCATGTCCATGGCGGCATGGCCTGTGTGTGGCCAGCCCATGGAACGCCCAGACCAAGAAAGGTGAGTTAATCTCCAATACCTATCTCGTTCAAATCCGTATTGTGTACTCCGTGTGCATTCGTAGAATTGAGGGGCGGAAAAAGACATGTCCAGATCCTCAGAGGCTGGAGTTTGGGGTGATCATGATGCGTGTTTGGTTTGACCTGTGGTTGACCTCAATCCCAGCCCGAACACCACCATCCGCGCGCAATGTCGTCCCATTCTACGAAAGGCTTAGGTTGAAGAAGACGAAGAGCCAGCCAGGCGTGCCAGTGCCAGGCCAGGCTGAGCCAGTAGGGCCACACGGCATAAGCCTCAATTCTGCTCGAGGCTCAGCACTGCTGCACCGCTGCATTTGCTAACGCATGCCCAGCAGCCCATGGAAACCTTCGGCCAGCCTCCGATGACCGGGGGGTTTGCGATATAATGACGAAATGATGTTTTTTTATCCTCTCTTGCCGCGCCGACAGGCCTTGTCATCTTGGACTTCTCCGTAAGGGTTATCACCTACATACGGATGCTAGGAAGCACTCAAGGGCCAAGGCGTATCCGATCCGTACAGGGAAAGAGAGAGACAGAGAGAGCGAGAGTACTTCTGTATCTCTCGGACCCGGAAAGCACCAATGGGCAGCAGAGCGCAGAGGTGCGGCCGTGGGCGGGAAGTGCGCGCTCAGGGATGGTTTAGCAAAACACAATCGCATACACTGCCCATATGTGATGTGAGGGTGTGAGTGGTCGATGAAGTAGGTACGAAGAAGTGTGTGTATCCGAGAAGGGAATGGAGGAGGATGGACTCGCTCTCTCTGGGTATCGAATTGATTGTGGGCACACACACACGCTGGTCGAACATTCGTATGCTACCTACTATACTCACTCTCGCTCATATAGACACACACACACAAACACGCGCGCGCGCAATAGATGAGGAGAGGCATGTCAAGTTCCATTATGAGTTAACCGGGAAGTGAGTGAGGAACGAGAGGTGAAGTGTGAGGTGAGTGTGTGAGGATCAGGGGCCCGCCGCCGGTGAGGTCAGTCGGGGCCCAGAGGTAAACTGTGGGAAAAGGTGGAGAGATACCTTACGATAGGTGAAGGGGGTGGTACGTATCCACTACGCGAGAAATAAACTTTACGCTAAAGCCAGATCTGTCGTAGCTTGGTGGGCGCCGATACGCGGCCCAGCAGCGACCGCAACAGCCCAGTTAGAAGGTCAGCATCGAGGGAGAGACAGCGTAGAAAAGTGGTCTGTTACTGGATACCTAAGTCCTAAGGTACACCATTATCGACCGGGGAGAGCAAGAGCACTGAACAGCGCTGAACAGCACCTCACCCTCGAACTTGAGGCCCCTCTTTCTCTCTCTTCCTCTTCCTCTTGCTCTGTTTCTGGCACTCTGTGAGAGACTGCGACCAGCAGGCTGCTGCTGCTGCTGCTGCTTTCATCTCGTGCTCCAAATCATGGTACTGGGGAAACTTCGTCGTCGGTACGTACCCGGCTACCATGAACCATCTCTACCTACCTTACCTTACAATGCCTGGGCCAAGCACCATGCAAGTTGCACGGAAACCTGCTCCCACTTCGCTGCTCCGGCGGCGGCCAGCCCGACCGGTACCTTGTCCCCTCCACTACATCCAACCGTAACACGCTTGTCTCTTTTAAGAGAGGGTCTTCTTGCGGCCTGCCATGGGGCCATAGGCCATGGCTTGTGTCGTCGGCCGACTTTGGGGGGGATGGGGGGAAGAGCTGCGTGGTGTGCGGGCAGTAAGATTGGCGTATCCGTACCGATAGGCAGACCGCACTTAGCTTGCGAAAAGAACCGAGAAACTCTACGGAGTAACTAGCCATCTCTCTATTTTCGCATTCGAAGCGACGAGCAGCAATAGCCAATTTGGGCAGTTCGCAAGATTTGGCACCATGTGGACAAGAGGCTCCAGAGTAAAGAAAAAACACAAATACCCGCCGCCGTCGGCCCTTCTCACTCAAAGGGCGCGATACAAAGTGGTGTCATAGAACCTCGAGGGGTCTCCTACCCAGTAACTGTAGCAGAAACCGTTTGCCAAATGGAGTATTCCGGTGCGGAAACCCTACCTAATCTCACCTAGTCCACCTCCACTGGCACAACATCCTCCGTCCAGACGTACGCAGTACACACTACCTACACAGTAGAGAGGTTGGAGCCACTGGCGTATCGATCGCTAGTGCATTGCGTCGCCCATTTGGAGAGGAAAACCCCAAAAAGAGGGAGCCTTGGGTCTATCTTCTGAGGCCTTCTAGCACCTCCATTGCATAGCCATTGGAATCCATACCTAAGACGAGAATTGCGACCTGACGGCGGCGGCGGCGGTTTCGAATGGCGTGTTCGGGCCTAACGAGCAAGAGAGACAGAGACATTCTAGCTCGCCGACCAGAAACATTGAATACCAACCGCCCTGTGCCATCAGTGCCGGATCCATTGTCAGGAACTTATCGGCTCACCCGCTTCACATTCGTCGTCCGTCTTGTCTGGCGACATTTCTAGCTTTCGGTGAGCCACGCCGCGATGACAATTCATCCAACGGCCAAGACGGTCTTTGCAGCTAGCACGTCCGAAGATCGGATCCAAACTGTACCTGGCCTAGATTTCACGACGGCTCTCCAGCCTTGTCGCCCAAAGGTCCCCAGGGCCTCCCATTTGAGCCCCGATCGGTTCCGTTGGACACATGCCCACTATCGAACGGCTTCCTCGGATTCCGTCGTGGGTAGGCCACGCGAAATTGAGATATTCTTGTCTTTTCACCGCTTTCGAATTGGCTGGCTTGGAGAGATGGAATTGGGCATGAGAAAGAGAGCGGCGACGGCGCGCGCACACACACGCACACACGCGGGTACATACACCTCCATGTTGCGACTGAATGGCGGCGTCCATCATGGTCGTTCCAATCATCGGACCTGGTTCCGGTCGCCCAATCCCACAGGATGCCGCTACTGAACTGCCGTTGTCAATCTTTTTCCCCGATTGCTATATTCCGCCTTTCGGAATGCAGGCTCATGAAGGTTGGCGCATACGGCACCCCTGGTCACAATTTGTCTACAAGTCGCAGTCTCTTGCCATTGAACGTTAGTAGATGTGAGCCCAGCAACAGCACCACGGCCGGCCGACCGACCGTACAAGGCCAAAAATTTGGGGGTGTTTGTCTTCTCCCTGGTTGCCGAGTCTTATGTCGGCATCCTGTCTCACTTTTTCAGCTTCGCGGCACGCCCTTCTGACCGAGCCAACTTTGATTCAGCGCGGTCAGCGTCTTATTCGCAGAAACATTCGCTCTCTCGGTGCGGCGTGTTGACCTCCGCCAGATAGGTACGGTATGCACAATCGACCGAATGCCTGTCCTTGGCTGCCTGCCCAGCGAACCCGAGATCGCCGCTGTCAACGCGTCCTGTACCGGATTTCGCAGGTGTCTGCAAGTTTGCGTAGGTGTGTGTGTGTGTGTGTGTGTGTGTGTGTGTGTGTGTGTGTGTGTGTGTGTGTGTGTGTGTATGCGTGTCTATGTTGCTTCTCGTCCATTGTTTCTTCTTTGCTTTTTTCCCCTGGTCTTTTCTTATTCCGTGGTGCGCCTCCTCCTGCTTCGGTGTGTAGGAGAACTCTCGGGTTGCGGTGTGAGAACTTGAGATGCGCACAGGTACTGAAGGGCAATGCGCCGGCATTCTCTCTGACATGCGTGGCGGGCTTCTCGAAGGTCCATGGAACTCTTCTGTCTGGGTTCTGCATTGCATCGGGCGTTCGCATTTTTTTTCTAGCCTCTCGTCGTTCCAGGGTCATGTCCGAGGACACCACCATCGCGATGAGTCTGGCGCATCGTCGAAGAGGCGAGAAGGGAAAACGAAGCATGGGCTGTCGCCGAGCTGGATTGCGATTCACAGGGTTTCCAGGCTGGCGGGATTGTGGCGTTTCGGGGGGGGGGGGGGGGGGGGGGGGCCCCCCCTTTTTTGGGTGGGGGGGGGGGGGGGGGGGGGGGGGGGGGGGGGGGGGGGGGGTGGGGGGGTGGGGGGGGGGGTGGGGGGGGGGGGGGGGGGGGGGGGGGGGGGGGGGGGGGGGGGGGGGGGGGGGGGGGGGGGGGGCTCCTTCCCCTTTTTCGAGAATGGGAAGTCTGCTGATGTGTCTGAGGTTGATCTGTTGGTTCTCATCTCCCCGCGCCCAAAAAGTCTCACTCTACCTGCCTACTGGGTTCAGTGATGAGTACTTTGTAGATGTTTCCAGCTGTCAATTAGTTCTTGTGTTCCCCCAATCGCGGGGCAAAAGACCCGTCTGGCTCTGGCGGCCCTCCCTCGTTGTTCCTTCTTCTCCCTGAGGTGGCCCTGCCACATTTGCTTCTCATTCTTCCCCAGCCTGATCGTCCGGCGTCGTGAATTCCAGCAGTTTGGTCGTACAAGGCGTCTCGTGCCGGCCTCCCGAAGCTGTTCGCATTTTTGTTCATGAGATGTGGTTGCTTGCGAGTTATGTCATAGGCGTTCGGTTGTTGGTTGATGAGGGGGTTCGGACACGGCGAAAGGCGTCGAGAACGTCAACAAAGCAAAGAGGGTATCCGGAATCAGCGATTTTATGAGTTATTTCGGGGTGGGCTTAGCAATGCCGGCCCGGGGGTGATGAACCCCTGATGAATGCCGTCTCGTCGGCGCAATATCCAGTTCGGACCTCTGTTATGTCAATTCTGACTCAGAAAGCCAGCCGTTGTATGTTTCGTTTCCTCTGTGAGTTCCTTCGGGAGGATACCTAATAGACCAATGAGGCCGGAATCCCCAGAAGAAGAAAAAACAGGGCCTGCAGCAGACCCTGCTTGTAAGACCCGGCGCTGTGCCTGGCATGCGCCGGGCACCCTTCCCTCATCCTCGAAAGCCTCGAAGCTCCAGCTGGTTAGGGTGTCGGGGTGTTAGGGCAGGGCGGGCCAGCTGAGAGCAATGGGGGGGGAGGAGTGAGAGTGAGGAGGAGGGGGGGGAAGGGGAGGGGGAGAGCGGTCAGGCGGTGGGAAACGGCGGAAATCTCTCCGGATTCTGAGAACGAGGTACCGGAACTGCTGAGGTACCTCGACCAGGTCCAGTACTCCAGCGCCTCCTTGACCCAAATCCAGGCGATACATGCGCTAGCAGCCTAATGACGACCGCTTTTTCTTCCGAATCAACGAATCACTGGCTCAACCGGTGCTTTGCGGATCTCGCTCCGTAGTGCACCACAGTACAAGTGCCAGGGCCAGTGACTTGGCATTTCCGGGCTTATGGTCTGAGTGTGGTGTCGGCTGCGGGAGAGACAGTGAGACTCCAGAGACCCTGGACAAGTGCGAATCCTTCAGACTGGGACTGTCAGCGGTCATTCCGTCGCGTACGGAATTTCCGTACAGAATTTCCGTACAACTCCCAGCAATGGACATCATGTACATCATCGCGCATCTAGAACCTTGTATGTCTCTGACGAAAGAAAATTGATATTGAGCCATGTTTGGCGACGTTCCTGTACAATGCAGTAGGAGTGCACGTATGCTCAAGCAGAGCTCTCTATTCGTAGCTGTATCGGTTGTTGCGAAAGAAAGAAAAAACTGGTCGTAAATGCCTCGACCCGGGGTATCGAATCGTCCCAAATCCAACAGAGAACTCGATCAGTGGAGTCAATCAATCGGCCCGTCCGGGACCGTGGTAAATGCTGTTATGTTTGTTCTCGCCGTACATATTCTCAGGCGACACTTTCAGGGTCTGCCTCTGCCGCTGGGTCTGCGTCTGGTACTGCCCCCACCAGCTCTTCGAGTCCTCCGACCTCCGTTGGTCCGTTAATGCCGTCCGGAGGAAGGGCCCACGCGGGCATCGGACTGGTGTAGCTCCAAGCCCCTCCGGCATCTTCGTAACGGAGGCTGTGAAGCCAGAGCGAAAGCTCGTGCTCGCCGGGGTCTGTGTAGAGCGGCGTATCGCAAACGTCGCAAAGCTCTCCTGACAGCTTTTCAGCCCTTCTCTTCTGGTACAGGTCCACCAGTTCGTCGTGATAGGCCACAGCGTCGGCGATATCTTGTTTGCCCATCCTTTCTAGGCGTGACATGATGTCTTCGTCCGTGTTCTCGACTGCATCCGAGTCGTTGCATCCCAAGTTAATTCCCCAAACTCTTTGGTTCGCATACAAGGGGTCGTTCTCAATGGGATGCCCAACAAATTGCAGATGCACGCGGATCTGATGTGTTCTGCCAGTCAAGGGCAGGCAGCGAACGATTGAGTAGCCCTCTTTCTTGATCCAAGGCCGGCGTTCCTCGTCCGCAAGTCGTTCCGCACTCTTTGGCTCAGCTGCCTCCGAGTCATTCAGAGTGTCCGGCGGGTAGTAGGCCAGACGTTTGAAGACGGTACGGGCCGACTTTCCGTTGGCTCGCACGCGGTTGAGGCCTAGTCGCGGGGATATTTGGAGGATAGGCTGATCGCAGACAATTTCGCCATCAGGAAACTTTCCAGCAACGCGCGCCAAATATTCTTTGCGGACCGTATGAGCTCTAATTTGAGCAGTGAGCTTCACTGCTGCCTGTGGTGTCTTGGCGACGAAAAGAATTCCACTGGTGAGGCGGTCCAGGCGATGGCACGGGTAGGGCAGGAAATGCTCGCCTCGCTCAGACTTCATGATCTCGATAAGTGTGTTGTACTTGTATCTACCAGCAGGGTGTACCGGTACGCCGGATGGCTTATTGACAACGATCATCTCGTCATCTTCATGAATGACACGAATCGGCTCGCCTGTGACAGGGGGCTCATGGCGATGAATTGTGTGATTCACAAGGTCTCCATTCTTGACCAGATGATCCGGGCCGACTGCCTTTCCGTTGACAACGATGGCTCCGGTTTCCATGGCATACCGGTAGTACTCTAGGGTGCGGTCCCTGAATTCATCCTCAAAAATGTCGATCAGCTTCCGACCGCGCCAGCGTTGCTTGGCCCAGGTGTGGTAGGTAAAGTGATAAGGAGCAACTCTACGGAGACCGTCCTCGAAGAAGTAAGGCCGAGGCCACATGTCGCCGGTAGGCGTTGTCAAGACTTCAGGCAGCTCATTGGAAGCTTCAGACGGTTGGGCATCCGGTAGCTTGGCTGGTTCAGCAGCGGGAGCAGCAGCCGACGGCGGGGCCGCAGCCGACGTCGGTGCCATTTGATCAGAAGCCATGGCAGGCATAAGAGATTCCCGTCGGAATGGCAGCCTTGCCAAGGACCAAACTGAACGCAAGAGGGTAGCCAGGATTGATCAGGTAGTCAAGTTGTGAGGCGTGGTGTGCGATGGTGTAACAATAAGTGGCGTATTGTGGAACTGTGCGAAACTTCGACTAGTCGTAAGTAAGTAGTGTTTGAGAAAGTCGCTTGCTACTTGCCTCGAGGAGCCTGGATATCAACTACTGCTAACAAACTTTGCATGTGTAGTGAAAGGTATCTCGAAAGAGTCACAAATTCTTGGCGGTCAGGCATGGCAGAACTTTGCTGGAGTTGGATTTTGGCGGGCGAGATCGGGAAAGGTGGATCAGCAGAAGCGTGATTGGTCACTGGAAAGACCTTGTGTAGTTACATAATCTCAGCTAGAGCCTACCATTTTCCGGCTCAGGTAATCAGCACCCCTGGGCAGGTATTCCGGCTCTGAACCAGATAGGTCTGCCGACATTGGTGATTGGCTCCTGTTAAGTTGGCGGCAACATGACATTCTGCCTCGGCTCAGCTAGGAACTCTACTGTGCTGCAAGTCAACTGCGGCAATCAAAAGTCTCAACAATTTCTCCACAACTCTTAGTGGGAAGCTACGAAGGCTTCTTCATCGAAAGGTTTAAAGTCACGAGCTGAACCACAACTCAATCGAGAAAAGTGCCGATAAGGCAATGCGCGTTTACCAGTGACGTCTGACTGAGCATCCTCCATCTCTTGTCCCTCCCTTGTGTTTCTGAGCCAATACTACCCCAGCAAGGGCCAGTACCTTCGGCATCACCGCCTACAACGTGCTCCAAATATCCGATCTCTCTCCATCATCTCACAAAGCACCGCCATGGCCAGCAACAAGCAGTTAAAGCAGCGTCGAAGGGGGGACTACGGGTACATCCTAGACTACCGGACACGATGGTGAGTTTACCTCCATCCCGCCATGGTTATCACAAGCTGTCATTGCGGCTTCCCTTTCTACCTACTCCTCGGTGCCTTTCATCCTCCCTGCTATACCTCAAAACGGAGGGACCGAGCCCATTCCTCGCAAAGCTTCAAGGGGGGGCTTGTCCGTGCTGCAAGCGGACGCCCTCCCTCCTATCCTTTCTTTCGCCAACCTCTCACGCCTATGGTGCAAAGGCGAGGGCGCTCTTCGCAGCGTATCAGCAGCCGTCCATCTTCTCATCATTATCATCCCCTCACACTTCGCTTTCATTCGTCTGCGCTTTTGCTGCTTGGGCAGAGATTGACAAGGTTTCTTAGGGCCGATAATGATATGTATCAGCACATGAACAATAGCGTCTACAACTTCCTGTATGCTTCTGTCGATCAAGCTAATGTCCGCGCGGCGTCCAGCTAAGAAACTGCAGATACGACTCCGTGGTCAACGCCTACCTGATCGAGCACTGCGGCCTATCTCCCTTACGTTCTGATCAGTACGGCCTTGTCGTACACTCACACAGCGACTACTTTGCTTCGATTGCGTACCCCGCAGTCGCTCAATTAGCGCTGCGAGTGAACAAGTTGGGGAAGTCAAGCGTCACCTACGAAATTGCCTTGTTTGAAAAGGGAGTGGACGAGGTGAGAGCAGTCGGGGAGTTTACCCACGTCTTTGTCGAGAGATCTACCGGTCGTCCAACCGCATCCGGAATGGAGGACGAAATGCGGAGGGGTCTACAGCGACTTCTGATGGTGGATGGTAGGGGAAACAAGCTCTAAATTGAACTCTATCACCCACCCACTTGTACCGTGGAGCTTATCTCCTAACAAATTCCTCTACCAGTTTACAGCTGCAAGCTCAGCTTTTGGATTGCGCCATCCTGCTCACCACTCGTGAAGATCTTCTCGAGGAACTCCAAGTCCGCCAGCGCCTCCTCAGCTGATTGCAGGGGGTTGGGTGTCCCAGCAGCCAAACCTTCAGCCCAGGCCTTGACCTCCTCCTTTACACCACTCGTCTGTTCAAAATGAGTTGTTGTTGCCTCGCCGTCAAAGGGCCTGACGGTGAGATCGTGACTCGACAAGGTCACACTGCCGTTCTCGCCCGCCACGTGGAAGTCGAAGGCACTCAGGGTTGAGCCAACACTGACGGCGAAGGAACCAGTGGCGCCCTGCTTGGTCTTGACGACGGCATTAATGGTGTCAATGGGCGGCAGGTGCTCCCGGGTCAAGTCCGAGAAGGCGGCAACCGAGGCCGGCGCCGCGTCCTTGCCGAGCAGAAGGCGAAGGGCGGCGGCGAAGTGGACGCCGCCGTCGAGGAGGAATCCACCCTGGTAGTCGGGCTTCTTGCGCCACGCAGTCTCAATGTATTTGCCGCCCAGTTTCACGAAGAAGAAGACCCTCACGTTGAAGCCGATAACTTTGCCCAGCTTCCGCACCTCGTCTCTTGCCGTAGTGTACCGGGGCTGGAAGCGGTAGTTCTCGGCCACGGCGAAGGTCACGCCCTTTTCAGCGGACACCTTTTCATAGTACTTAATCAGCTCCTGCGCACGGGCAATGTCTGCGGCGATAGGCTTCTCGGCTAAGACGTGCTTTCCTGCAGCGAGAGCTTGCTTAATGTAATCGGGCTGGTTCAGGATGGGCAGGGCTAAGATGAGAGCCTGGATATCATCACGGGCCAAGAGATCTTTGAAGGACTTGCCCTCGCCCGCGTCGTCAGAGTACAGGTCAGGTGAAGCTGACTTGGTGACGAGCTTAGCCGTGTCCTGGGCGGACTTGAGAGAGCGAGAGAAGATGGCCTTCAGGGTGAGGTTGTCGTTTGCTTCCACAGCAGGCTGTTTGGACAGTCAGTGACCACGAGACCCGCGGCTTCCGCGGACGGGCAATATCAGCTAGGTAGTCGCCTTACCAAATGCTCTTCCTTGGCAAAGATGCCTCCTCCAACAATGGCTACTCCGATGGGGGCCATGGTTTCTCAGATATATCGTTCAAGATTGGATGCGAGCCGTGCGGAAGGCCTGAGTCAAGCAACTGTAAGGCAAGGTGTATATAAATAGAAAAGTACAAGATAACTTTCCGAACTGAGGTGAAGGGAAGAGGTATAGAGAGAGAGAGAGAGAGAGAGAGGGATAAGGATCCAAATGATTTATTTGTTCCAATTGAGTTGGACGGTCTTCCAGACAATTCGTTATTTGTCCATGAAGGCGTGTTGTGCAGTAGCCAGGCACGCAAGCAATGCCATCATCAGCTTTCTCCTCCAATACCTGGGGAGCTTCGTGATGGTAGTGGGGTTTTGTTGGCGGGGTCGGAGAGCCCTGTGGCACAACCGTCTCTCAGCAAATTGATGGAGATGATGAGACACTATCTAAGGCTCGAGGAGAACACAGCCGGTTCTGTTAGCATATTAATCACAACACCCCGCTCGGGAGTAAGAGCCTTACTCTTTTGGGAAAGTATAGCAGTTGAGTAGTTGGGGACCTGAGTTCCTGCCAAACGCCCTGCACCGGAAGGTACAGACGGGAATGATCTTTTGATGAGGTCGGATGAATCCAATGGAAGGCAGGCACCCAATACAGATGATGCTACAGTTTGGGTGTTTCCAAGTATCATGTGCGGTAGGTGTGATTTTTGCGAGGAAAGAGTCTACTGGCTAGGTACTCAAAGAACTGCTCGTGATCATAGATACATAAATCATCTCATACAACTTGGCTACGCATGTTTGCTCATATAACTCATCTCCTGATTTGCTTCCTTCCTGCCGCATTCCGGATCTGCATCCCCGGTTTTCGGCTCCGCTTAACTACCGTTCTTTTCATACCGTACCGGAGGCGGTGCTTTCTGATTCAGCCTCGTCGTCGCTGCTACTGTCGTCCAGTCGGTCGATGGCTCGTTGGCACTCCTTCTCCCACTTACTCAATCCAACAATGACCCATTCCAACGCCCCGACCAGATACAATGCAACACATTGTCCGATCCACAAGCCGGCGAGACCCCAGCCATGAAAGGCGAGGTAGATGCCGGCGGGGAGAGCTCCACCGTAGTAGCTGACGAGGTTCACCACAGCCCCGACCCACTGACGGCCCATGCCTCGAAGGGCACCACCACACGATCCGTTCAGGCCGTCTGCTATCTGGAAGAGTGCGACGTACGGCATCACTTCGCCAACGAGCTGCACCACCCGCTCGTCGTCATTAAAGATCTTGCCAAACACATCCTTCGTCGCCATAAGCATAGTAAGAACCACACTTCCGAGTATCACGGACAAGATTGCTGCCGAGTGTGCTGCTATCGCCGCGTCCCGAGGCCGCTGCGCTCCCAGCAAATTTCCTAGTCTTGCCGATGCTGCTACCCCAAGACCGAAGGGAATGGTGTTGATAATTTGGTCCGCCGTCATGATGACAGACTGGGCCGCCAACGGAATAGTGCCAAGTCTCCCGGCAGCCAGGGCCACAATCTCGAAGGCCCACCACTCAGTGCCAACATGAACGACTCCAAGAAGTGCAAGCTTGGAAAAGGGCCCAATATTTCTGATGGCTCTCCGAAGCTCCAGACCACCCCAGCATTCCTTGCCGCGGACGAAGACTGCATAGGCAACTAGAAGGAGAAACGATACCCAGTACGAGATGCCTGTGGCCAAGGGAGCACCGTACAAGCCGAGGCCGAAAGTGTGGATGAACAAATAGTTGAGCCCGGCGTTCATCGGAGATGTAATTAACAGCACATACGTGCCTGGGCGGTAAATCGCTGTCACATTTACGTCAGTGCCGTCGTCTATTTCCCTCCGTCCTTGACTTTCTCGAGGTGACACTGAGGGGCCCTGACTTACCTTGGGCCTGCAAATACTTCTTCATGGCCTCGAACCACACGTATCCCAACCCGCCCGGGATCAGGCATCGCAAAAACGCCGAGCTTTGCACGCAGATGAACTCTTCTTGGCCCAGCGCCCGGAACACCGGTTCGGAAAACCACCAGAGCACTGCCACCACAGCATAAAATGCCGACAAGACAAGGATGCCTCTCTGCAAAAGGATGCCCAAGTCGTGCTTGTTCGAAGATCCCGTGAAGCTACTCGACGCAAGAGTGTCGAGCGCTGTCGTACCACCGAGGGCAATGAGCCAAGCTGTCGCCATGGCGAACATGTAGCTGAAGGCTGCGGTGGCGAGTGCTTCCGGGCTCAGTCTGCCAACAATAAGAACGCTGATGGTTTGCAGGCTGTTCTGCAGCGTGTACGCCAGGATAACCGGGACAGCGGCTTTGGCCAGCAAGAGTATTTCGGCCAGCCATAGCCGGACTGCGTGGGGTTCTTCCGACTTGACCGCCGGGGGCTTCGGTAGCAATGCCGTAGTCTCGGACCGGGAAGACATGGAGGGCGGGCCCAGTGTGTCGGCCGAGGACGTGTCCGACATTGTGGTTCTTACTCGGATTGCGACCGCTTTCTATCAAGCTCGATGTCACTCCGGAAGCGGTGGTTGTGGAAAGTCCACCCGACTGTCCAAACCGATTTCCGGATGTCGATAGGAGTGACTGCAAACGCGAGTCAAGGGACGAAGCAGATGAGACAATCCGAGGCTAGTTGTGCACCCATGCACCAACGTGTTTGCTGGCGAATTTCGAAAAATTTAAGGGAGGGAGCGAAGGTTCAGACGATCAGATGTCAAACAATAAAACGAAAAGGACAGCGGGAAACGGCTCAGCATTGTATACGGCATTTTTCAAAACTCCATCTTGCGACCCCTCCCCATCCCACGCTGGTATCGAAAGTTCAGACACAAGATAGCTGACAAGAGCTATTTGCCACGCGCAATTGGGCCAAGTTTGTAACTCCAACGACGGACAATTGACTTTGCTCACCTCTCGCGAGGCATGCCTGGTTCTCATCGCGCGGGGAGAACCCCTCAATCGATGGGCAAAGATTGGACAGCGATTAGTCTGCATTTCGGCCGACATGAATTTCTTTCCACGCTTGCGAGGGTCTACGTGGGCGAGAAGGACGTTAGACAGCGGACCGTTGACTCTGAGTGGCTGCATCGATTATCGCACGGCAACTGGCCCATCCGAACTGACGCAATGGATGAGGTCGGATTTCTCGAAGGAGCAAGCGGCTTACATGGTGCGCAGTTGCTGCGACTCTGCCCTACTTATTGTCTGGGAACGCGGCGGCCACCTTGATGAGATACCAAGAGATTCGGTAGCCCAATCTGCCAGAAATGCGAATCGTGCATACACTGCATTCTTCAGCGCGCTAAGCCAAGAAGAGGAGCCGAAGCTCAACCAATGCAGATTCTCTTATCTCGCATCTTATCCGTGGACCGAGGACAGCAACGGCTTACCTAAGGAACAATGGCTTAAGGCACTGGTAGTTAGTTTGGCAGTCTGGTACCGGCACCGGCCCTGGCAACGACGGGCAAGGTTGGCAAAGGCTTCGGTGAACATGTAGCGGGAAACGGCCGACACCGGTATCGGGTCCAGCTTTGCCGGCCGAGTGGAGGTAGGGGGGGCAGATGAAAAAAAAAAAGAATGATAAAAAAGGGCTGACGGGAAGAGGGGGGGGGGGGGGCGTTGTCTTATCGGCAAGTCGCATTGCTTCCAATCCACGAGTATGTCGTACGGGATATCATCGCTTCACGCCAGCACTGACTGGTTCCCTAGGCACTTTGCTGTGCTGGAGGACTTGTCGAGGTCAGAGCGTGCAAGTACCCATTGGAGCCATCTCAATTCACGCCCATCTCAATATCTTCGCCGCAGCGAAAGACCGGCGGCCGACCTCATGACCGACGAGACTGTGGGCATGAGAGGAGTAAGGGGGAAAACAAATCTTCAACTTGCATTGGTACAATACGAGAGTGGACATGGAACAAATGGAGCAGCCCCAGAAGACACTCTAGAAGAACCTTGGTCCAAAAGAGGGAAAAATCGAGACCATCTTCAGAATATCAAAGCGCAATGGTCAACCGCCAGGCGAGTTCGACAAACTTGGGTAAAGGCACGAGAGCACCAGGGTCAATGGTCAAGGATTGATGGGCGCCACCATCTTGGACTAACATTGACATTCTCGCACAGAGTATCAACGACGATCAAGCTTTAGACACGGAACCTTCTTGAAAACAGCCGGAATAGTCTTAGCTACTGAAATAGAAGCTATCCAGCATAGCTGTAACGACGGTTGCGGCCAATGGACGGCACGCGCACGACTAACGGGACTCGATGCCATGTGCTTTTCATGAGTCGAACTGGCCAGGAACAACGGCTTAATCTCATGCAACACGAGGCGACTTGAGTTGACTTCAACTTTAGATTTGAGCCAACCTGATTTCATATCGTCACTACTGCATTAATTGAGTCGAGCAAATGGCGAATGCGGCAACGGACTCAGGTTCAGCGATGGACAGGCCGGATACTTCGTACGGGATACATTCGAATGCCTTACTTGGTGCAAGGTCGAGTCCTCTTTTCACAGAACGCATAACGGCGTCATAAAGATCTCATGGTTACGGGTGAGAACCAACGCATTCTGCAGGGCCAAAGTTAAAGTCTAAATATACGAACCCCGTCCCCTGCCCGGTCAGCGCGCGCGAAGCCCGTCAAGTCAGCCCGCCCGCCCACTGAGCGACATTGAGAGGGTGCCATTTTCTCATCGCATCTTGGACGGCAATCACACGAGGAAGATTCCCTGCCACCGCGGTGGCCGCAAGGTACAGATCAGAAGTTCAGCACGCCAAAGAAAAACGGAGTCTGATCTGACACAGGACGTGGCAGCCTTCTTCGAGTACCTTCATCCATTCTTTGATTGGGAAAGGAATTCGTTCGAAACACGCCGTGGAACGTGGCTCTAAACTCTAAACCTTTCGTCGGGGAACCCTTTCGCCCGCCCCCCTTCTACTGCTGCCTACGTCCGGGACTGGGCTTCGAACAAAGTGAACACGGCCTGTTCCCCTTCGACCAACGTTGGACATTGCAAGGTACCGGATGCAATGTCTGTACCTGTGTTCTCCAGTGTACGGATACATTGCGACAACTCTTCTTTCTCAGTCTCTCCCGCACCACCTTGGTGAGCAGACGTCGTATAGTCACCCCTACGCACCATATCCATGAGGAACCACTTCCTTCACTTTGCTCTTCCTTGCTCGTGGGACATCGCATTGCATACACCACCTGACGCAGTACAGCTACATGGCACGATTGCTTCCAGAGTTCCACACCACATGTTTTTCTCGCTCTCTTTCGCTCTTTTTGCCTTTGCATCCTTGATATTTACCCTTCGCTGTTCCTACGATCTGCATAGTATATCCCATCATACACCCTCCTCCTCACCTCCTCTTGCTGTTTTCCCGTTGTTGAAGCTCCCATATGCGTCAAATCGAACTCGGGCTCTCCTGGCAGAGAATCATTTTGGCGGACGTTCGGGATCGACACCGCCAATGCCTCTAGGCTGTCTCCTGCGGATATCTCCTGAACTCTTTTTCGGCTTCAGAGTTTTGACGTCACCTCCGGACGACGGAAGAGGAAACAGAACTGCGGGTGCGGTAATTCCGCTAGAACGGTTACACTTCAGCATCCAACCGTCAGAAGGACCCAGCCCAGCCCAGCCGCTGCCCCGGCACAAGGTGCGGATGCTACGTATGGACGGGTTCGGGAGTGCTTCCTCTCCACTTGCCAACCACCGTCCCGAATCCGCCAGTCAGACGGAGGATGCGTGTCTCACTTCCGCATACGGGGCTTGTGATATCCGTGGTTGAACTGGAGTTTGCCATCCATTCTTCCGTTCTACCGTTTGTCGGTCAGCCAGAACCGGCCCTTTGCAGTACCGATACCACTTCAGACGCAGGTAGGCAACCTCGCTTCGACAGATAGCGTATCCGTACGAGCATATCGTTTCCCGGGGAAGCGGTCGAACGGGAAATAGGGCGTACAAACGGTTTAGGGTTCTTCAGTGCAGCTTCTGGCACGTCCACGTGGCTTCCGGCAAAGTGAACGGACAACCGCCCGGCATCGCACTTCTCTGTGACTTCTCTCTTTCAGCATGGTCGCCCGTTTCATGGGGGCCTCGAACGCTGGCCATCCCGGCCGTGGCGAGTTACATGTTGCCGTCAAAAACGTGGGCAGCGTTGTATCAACCACAAGAGTGTCAGGAAAGAAATAGTCTGCTGGGCGCCCGCTGCTGGGACGGTTCCGCAAACTGGAACACAATACACACCCTGCTATGGGGGAGAGGAGCAGCAGGAGGAGGGGACTTTGCATCGTCACCCACTCTTTAGAGTTCGAGGCCGCAGCATTACAGCAGGCCAGCCTCTCCCCCAGTACCCTCCCTCGTTCCCACCCTCTCGATGCTCGCGCGTCTTAATCCTGGTCTTTCGTCGAACTCTGCCAGCGGAAGGTGCAAGCGCTTTCCCCAGGAGTAATTTCGGAAGTCGGATCGTAGGGATTATTGATGGGCATTTGGAAATGACGACGTTATGGCCCGGGGACGAAGTTGCTGTTTCTTGCACAATTGTCGTGATGCCAAAAATCACCTCCCATGTACCCTGCCATATATCAAGGCCACCCCCGGGCAGTTGCCCTGTCCATAAGCCTTTTCCCCCCCTGTCTATTCTTTTTTCCTCTCCCAATGCTACCTTTATGCAGTGATGCAGTAGCTCCCAGCAGCAAGCTGACCCCTGAGAAGAGACCGCTGCGCTACGGTGTTGCCGCCGGCAGCGTCGCCTTCTTCATCACCTCGTGGCAAGTTGAAGTCTTGCAAATCCCAGAAATGGATGGCCCGAGAATTGCAGGCTTGCTGTTGTTGTTGTTGTTGTCGCAGACGTTACGCTCAAGGGACGTCATTCTCGACGCAGAACGCAGTAATCTGCTTTTGCCAGTGGCCCCGTCCTTCACACCTCCATGATGGATCCATGATGGAGGAAAATATTTTCCCTCGTTGTCGGGTTTCGTGACCTGCAATATGCGGCCGTGGACCGACGTGTCCAGCAATATCCATGACTTTGCGGGAACGGGGACTCTCCACTACAGAGGAGGAGTCTCTTCAGCAATCGTCGAGTGTTTCTTGGCCACACACCCACTCACCGCTCTTCGCGCCCGGAGCGCCGTCCTCCTCTTGCTGGATGCCGCTCCATCCCTCTCCTCCTCTCCTCCTCCCTCTCCTCCCTCTCCTCCCTCTCCTCCTGCTCTCCCATGTCTTGGCCCTCGAGCCAATGCTGCAGCCGCATGCCGGTCGACGCGGCACCCATAGCCATTGCCCAGTTTTCCACTCCGAGCGTGAGGGTGCTAATCGTCAACATATTTTTCACAAAGCGCGCATGCGGCGTCCGGTGGCATGCCGGCGCGATAGCCAGCATTATCCAGTGAAATATGCCCACCGTGTCGTTCCATGTCGACAGGGGTACACGCCATGTCGTCGTCCAGATCTGCAGAAATTCTGATTCCGTGCATGTCCCGCTCAGCGGCGTCCGGGTCATGACGGCCCGCGTGTAGAGTAACGCTGTCATTCGGATAACCTGGTACATGAAGTCCGGACTCTGCTGGTGGTGGTATGCGGATCGAGGACTCGTCGGAGAATCGCTAGCGTCTCGGGTATGTGACTTGGTTGACGACCATTCGGATGTCGTGGAGTCGGAATTCGGGCCCGAAGGTGATCGGCCCGGCCCATCGGAGCCAGGTCCGGCGGCCGTACCTGTGCTGGGCATACTCTCACTCCGTATGGATTCTCTATCGAACGCGGCGGAATAATTGCTTGTTGGTGGCGAATTCGTTCGAGTCGGGGGATCTGAGGACAGACTTTGGCGATGTCCAGGTATGGTTGAGTGAAGACTGCTGATATGTTCATACATGTACTTCCCCATCGCTCGGGCCTTCAGCGAGGCTGGGTTTGTCGTTGCTGATGTCGTCGATTCATCATATATCGCGTCGACGACGCTTAGAAGGTACTTCACATTGTCGAGTATCGAGGCCGTCGCCGGGTGGATGCGCAGACTCGTGGCGCAATCGGAGAAAGACGGGAGTGATCCGCTGCACGGTAGATGTGTCACCATGGGCGATAGATTCGCCATGCGGAGGGGGACGTCCTTTATAGGGTCGACGAAGGCGTACGGCTTCGCCAAGACCCGACGTGCTGAATTTGCCGCTCCTCCTGATGTCGCTGGACCCGTCGACCCTTTGCATCCGCTTCCTCCGCCTTTACGGTCGTCGTCCGAAGGCGACAGAGTCAGTAGCAGTGGGCTGTTTTCGTGGGCGAGGGATATGGAGACATCGTGACTGTGCATATGAGTCAGTTCATCGGGAAGGTAAAGACGAGCCAGGCGTGCATATCGTTTGTTGGAAGAGGATCCGTTCGCGAGTCAAACGAGTCAAGAGTCAAGGCCTAGAGCGAAAATAAGACCAGAGAGGGTCGGACGGACAAATGGAAACATGGTAAATAAGGCGGAAGATACTGCGTACGAGAAAAATGTCGGAAAAGCAAAATAAAGGACGCAATAACAATGCGGGAAGTAAAATATACAAAACGTCCAGACACGCGAATAAATGAGTAGCAATCATGAGTACACGACAAAGGCAGATATCAACCGTCAAAGGTATAATCAAAAGACTCAACAAGGTCAATCCAGAGAACATGTAGAAATCAGAACAACAGAAAAGGTTTACGCACACGATAGCATTTTTCGCCAAGAGGCCGTCCATGCCGAGCTGATTGAAGCCGCCGCGCACTCTGATCATATCTCGCAAGCCCATGAGGTGGTACCTTAGGTCCTGTTCCGATTCGCCCCAGTACCATTCAGCCACGGTGAGCTGAATGACGCCGGCGATGGCCGCATCTCCGGGCTTTTGAATTACCGGTGTGGTTAAACTGTTTGCGTCTGTTGCGGTCAGCGCGGTGGTGTTTGGCACCATGCTCTTACTGCTGTCCGTGGTCAGGTTTTCGTTGAGCATAGCGATGGCTTGGCCTTTGTAAGTCCGCAGGACATCTGTCCGTACATCCCCAGTCTCGTGGAGGAAGCAGGCTGAGGTATAGAGAATGATCCGCATCACTAGGGGATCTTGAAGGCAGAAGGGGGAGTAATGACGTATAAAAGGATTGTTGGGGCTCGGGTCGCCGTTGATAGAGGCTTTGAAACGGGAGAGAACTGCGATGTCTGTACTCGCATATCAGTATCATGTCTTTGGCAGATCAGGGGCTGTGTCCACTTACACAGTCTAAGTAACTTCGTGTTCAAGGGGCTCTGGTCCACAGGTAAAAGTGCTATTTGCTCGTCTATACCGCTGGCTGGTCGCTCCGGGAATTGTACCCTAGACTCTGCTGGATGTGACCAAGATCCAGGACTCTGTCCATGCTGCGGAGTGTCGTCGTCGTTATGGGCTGTTTCAAAGTTGTCGAAAATCAACTTTGGGACTGCTAGTCGATGTGACAAGACTTGCTGCGATGCTTGGAAGATATCGACATCTAGTATACTACGATCGGGGTTGGCTAATGGAAGCCACGAGACTGACGGTGGAAGACATTCTGTATCGCTGTTGAGGAGCTCTGCCTCTGATCGTTGTACTCTAAGCGTAGATTGGTATGTTGCCGGTTCTGAGCCTGGGCTTGGATGTGACGTCGAAATACCTGGTACAGCCCAACCAGCGATAGAAGGACTCCCGAGCGGTCTTGTTGACTGAGACGCTTGTATCAGGGGAGAGCTTACTCCTGGTAGTGTTGAAAGAAGGGGACCACGACCTCCCGCCCTTGCTGGTGTCAAGAAGGTAGAAGTTCCCGGTATGCGACTGCTGTGGGATTAGATCATGTACAAGATTGTGATAGCAGCCGTAAATCTGGCAGGAGGGAACGGGGACGAGGGCGGAACTTCAGACTTACTTGCCCACGCGGTACTCGCATATTGGTTGAGGAAAACGACGGAGGCAATTGCTACATGGCTGACCTTGGTCACACTGTATCAGAATTAGTCTTAGGGTCCTTGGATATGAGGGCCCGAGACGAAGCAAAGACGCTTCTTTGCATATCTCGTGAGCGATCAGCCAACACTTGATACCGACATTCAGTGTACACAGCGAAAGGAAAGAAGGCTGAAGTAGTAGGTGTACGTGCCTTCTGCTTCCTCCGTCTGCACTCCCCGCAGGACGTTGTCGTCCTCTCGGCGCGTGCTGCGTTCCGTGACGCCCGCTGCTGCTGCGAGCCTTCGGACATCGTCTGAAAATGGCACGAAGGCGGCGGAGGCGGCGGCTGCTTCTGCTGCTACTGCTCCCCCCTTTCGTCTTCCGCAGAGCATCCGTTTCTGAGATACCTATTTTTTTGTTCCACCTTTCCTGCAGATCGGCGGCGGTGACGCGGTATCGAACATGACGTGACTTTGGACCCGAGAATCTGGTTGAAATGTTTCTGGTAAGGCTGACTTATAAACAAATCGGAGAAAAGAGCAATAGGACATTGTCGAAGCCAGATCAAGTGAGAAAGGAGGCTTTGTCTGAGCTGCAGCTCGTCGGGTTTTGACACATTTGGTCTAGCGTCATGAGGATAGCTTCCGTGGATCGAGCTGGGCTGAGGAAAAGCCACAAACCAGCCCTCTGTTTCTTTCTTGGGGTTTGGTTGATGTGCACTAGCTTCCTCGCTAGTGCGAGAGCCCAAACCCAGGAAGCGGTATCTTGATGGTTCGAGGTTGTGCTCGCTGGAGAGAGAGAGAGAGAGGGAAGGGGGGGGCGTACATGGGCCAGTCGGTTCCATGGAATTTCCGTGGGAGACAGCTGATGTATCGATGTCGACACATCGGATCGAGCCTGGTGAGATCCGGTCTGGACACATGGAGACTGTGAGTAGTTGTTGTGCAAAAAGATATGCCCCGCTCAACACTTCCCATCGCTGCCGCGAATATCTCTTGACCGCGTTCAATGATTGCGATAGATGCTACCGGATAATCAAACCACAGGGCAGCAGTTATCCTATCAGCCATACGCTGACTTCAGAAACGGCGTAAATCATGAAGCACAAGCCCCATCGCTGGCGGCTTGTCGTGCTCGAGCCTTGTCAAAAAGAGGCTGGACACTTGTCCCTGTAATACCATACCACTTGGGAGATGGAGTCGATGCGGCATTGTGACGTCAAGATCGAGGATGGAATTAGCCGGCGAAACAGAGCGATAGGCTCAGACAGTCTTTCCAACGGCCCGCTTTCGGCGAAGCCCGAGTTGGACTCTCATGTTCGAGAATGCGGACCCAAAGAGCAGCCGATGGTTCGCCAGTGTGCGAAAAACGGTTGAGTAAGTTCGACGTGCCGGACTTTTTGACAAACACACGCGGAAGCCTTCTCCATGCTGGGGAATGTGACGCCCACATTGTGACGAAACGATGCAGCCGCAATCAAGCAAGTGCGCTAGCACAAAACATGTGTGTCCTAATTCGGACAGCTGAAGTGAGCCCACGATGCGTAGCTTCTGCCCAATCTCATGGATTGAGAGACCTCAAACTTAATCGACGTCGCCAAAGGAACGAACTGCTCAGCTACAGCAGGAGCCAAGAAGGGCTAGGCCAGGCTTCCCACTAAGGCAGAGCTAGCGCCCTTGGGAACCTCCGTTATTCAGCGAGGTGCCCTGTGGAATTCGTCAGCCCTGTCCGTGGCGCACCGAAAAAGCAAGAAGTGAGGGATGATTTTCTGTAAAACGTGTTCATAGAGACATGGCTTCGTAAAACGTGCCTATAGAAGCCCGCTGCCGGCCCCCAAATGTCTCGGTTGGGCTAGTTGAGGTAGCATTCCTGAAGGCTTCCCAATGCTTCGAAAAACTCCATCTCGTGTCGGTTCTTACTTTGGTCTGTAATGCGAACCGTGGGTTAGGGGGGCAGGGAGGAACGAGACGAACATCAATGAGACATTGGCATGCCCCTCGTGGCTGTTCACATTTGCTTTGACAATGTCGGTACGGCGCCACGGGCGGCGAGCCTGGAAAAAGCCTCGTTGGCTAGCTGAATGTGGTGCGTACGCCATTATACTTAGATGAGGTGGAATAAGGTAGGTAGTAGATTCGAAGCTGTGTCGACGGCTGTAGCTTCATTCTCGAGCCCAAATATTGAGCTTTTGGTCTGTCAGAGTCCGCAGCGAAATTTCCAACAGAATTGAAGTTCCAATATACCAAAAACGAATCGAGGTGACTAAATCAGGCGGAAATACAATGGGAGTAAGGACGTTTTGGCAAGCTCAGGGGAACGTGCCTTTTAAGCTTAAGGCCGGTTCGCGATCAGCAGGGCCTACTCCGCCGTGACGTAGTGACCCACTAGCCGACCGAGTTCTCGGGTTCTCGCCACCGCCCGGAAAGCGGGAAGGTCCCGGGCTTGGAAGTAGTCGCTCCTTTGCTGCACTGAGAAATTAGTAGGCACTTTGAGTGAGATGTCTAAGCGCGAGGAAATGTCATTATTTCATTAAAATGGCCGCGTGCTATTCCACCACTGCACATGGCCAGTAGAATCGCATGCGTTGGAATGGTATCTGACCTAAAACCCCCCAAAACCTGATTCGTTTTCCGAAGAGAACTCCCTTTTGCTGTGTGCTCTTGAAGAAACAGAGCCTCACAAACCAGCATGATATCCACTTCCCTGATGGTATGACTGCGCTCCGAGTGCTCTCATGTGGAGAAATGGGGTATCCAATCGATCTTTCCTTCCTTTACCTCCCGCGGTAATCCGGTTTTCTAGCCATATTCACTGGTGGAGGCTCGTCATCCACTGGATAGGGTAGGGGCGACGAGCCAACAGGACGACGGCCTCCGGCTGCCTGATGTTCCGGGAGTGGTGTCTTGGGAGGCAGCGGTGGTGGAATACGCTGTGGCTGTTGTGACTGCTGGACCGGACCATTACTGTAAGGCTGGTTCTGCCATCGTGGATGTTCATCCGGGCTCATGATAGCAATCTTATCAGCGCCTGCTGCGTAGCGATACTGCGCTGGGGTGGGCGCAGTGACAACAAGTCTATCAATCTCATCGTCCTTCGCCGGGGGTACGGGCCGTTGCTCGGGCCGTGGTGACGACGATGGTTGCAGCCGTTCGCCGGAACTTCTTGGTGAAGGACTCATTGGTGAGGGAATGTGCAAGTGCTCAGAGCCAGATTCGTAAGACTGACGGCTGGGCGGTGTGTTGTGTGGCGGCCACGATGTAGGAATCTCGGCTGGCAATTCTACCGCAAACGACATTGGCTCAGTCGTCTCCGAATTTGACTTGACCAGTTCAGGGACTTCTGGTAGGCGTGAGAACCTGATGTTCGCTTTGTGAATCTTGGCCATCTTCGCAGAAGCACCTTGAATCATTTTCTGCTCGACCTCCCGCCTCAGGTATTGCCGTGTGCTCGTGCTGATTTCGGCCAGGCGATGCCATTCGTTCATACCAAACTCGCCGACGCCAACCTCCACATTAAGACGGTAGTAGTTTTCGACGTTGACGTTCCGCTTCAATAAGTGCTCTTTCCTCATTTGCTCGTGGATAGCCTCACATCCCTCAATCTTGGAGATAAGCTTCCGGCGAGCTTCCGCAAACTCTCCCAGGAAACCTTCGTACCACATCTGGGAGTTTGCATCACTTCCTTTGGGCCGTCTGCCGGTACCAACGCTGAGAAACACGCCGACTTCGCGACCCGGCCATTCGTTGACTACGGCTTCGTCAAGAGCCTCGGGAGAAGGGTTGAAGGTGCCGCCACCGTCATCGTGAAAAACGGACTGCCCGATTTGAATGGGCTTGAAAGCTAGGCCGATCGCACATGTCGCTCGTCCAGCCTGCCAGATCTTGCAGTCGAACTCTGGCGGAGGCTCTCTTCTCGAATCGTAGGATCGTAGTACGGCGGCGGGGTTGCCCTTGCGGGAACCTTTGTACATTGCCAAGACGGCGCTGAAGGGAAATGTCAGTTCAAAGCGCGTTGCTACGTGCCTGGCAGAGTACCGGCAGTCAGTAGGTAAAGACGTACGTTTTAGTCCTGTTCTCCCTTGCGTCGTAAAGTCTCGCGTTTGGGTCACCGTACCGCGAGTTGAAGGCAGGGCGTGCCATCTGAGCCTGGGGGCTACGTGCGCTGAAGCTGACAGTGCTGGCGTTGCTTGCATGCCTCCGGGGATTTGAGGTGTTGTAGCCGCTGAGAGGGCTGAGAACATCGTTCTCGGTGCCGTCATTGCCCTCTTTTTGATACACTGTGTGCTCCCTCACAGCCTCCTTGATAGCCTCTTCAAGCTTGGAGGCCTTGAAGAGGGTCGAGCGGTAGGGAATGCCGGCGATAGTTTTGTCGGTTTCGAAGACCATGCGCGTCAACCTAACGTAAAGTTCCTTGCACTGCTCTAGATCAAGGCGCAGTCGACCGAGCATCAGGGCTATAAGACCGCCGGTACCGGTTCCTACGATGAGGTCGAAATGATCGCAAGGCCGAGGGATTTCGTTTCGCCGCGGGGCTTTCCCCTCGATCTCGACAAAGGTACGGTGCATGAGTTCTTGGAGAATGATAAACATGGAGTAACCACGGACTCCTCCGCCATCTGTCATAGACATGTTAGCATGAGCGCTTCCGGGCCAGTTTCGCGGGTTTTGCGCGCGATTTGGGTGTCGCGAAAGTGGCCGGTCTGCTTCACTTTGCTTACCTAGAGACAGAATGCGTAGGGGAGGGCCCTTTGTGGTGTCCCTCCTCCTGACCCCATTGGAGTCCATGATTTGGGCAAGCTCTCGTGGGTAAGCTGGCTTGGTCGCGATCCACCGGGCTTCTTGATATTGGTGTGGGGTATCGGTTGTCGTTGAGAAATGTCTATTGGCGGTCGCAAAGTGGTTGGTTTTTCGCAGAGGGTTTGTTGTTTTCTGCGAGATGCGAAAATTAGGAATTTCGGAGAAGATGGACTAGTACTGTAGGTGCAAGTGTGTAAGTAGGTAATTAGTTTAGGCAAAGCAAGGCAAGGCGGGTAAGGCAAAGTGCAGATGGTAATAATCCACCGCCCACCCACGAATACAAGTACAAGGCCTGATCACGAGTGGGAGGGTGACGCAAAGAAACGGCTTGCGCCCTGCACCATCCACTCGGATGGGGTCTTGGCCAACCCTGTCACTTGCCCACTTTGTGGAGGATGGACTCACCACTTGTGGTCACTCTACCGATGATTAGCAGAATGTAGTCGCATTCGCAGCTTGGGCCGGAAGATGGGCGAAAGTCTGAAGATGGTCGGCTGGTAGCGATTGGGATGGCGATGGCTACGGGGAGCAAAACACCCCAGCGGGAACCTGTATTCGACCTCAGAGTCCGCGACTGGGTGTGACGCCACAGTAGCTAATTTAGAAATCGCCCAGGGTATTTTAGCGACTTAAGGATGGGCACGAATGGAAGGCCGCCGTTGCTCCTAGGCCCATTGTCCTGGCTCCCTCCCCTTGTGGTGTCAGCGAGTGGGAGGCGGGAGTGAGATCCAACTAGGTTAGGATCTTCTCTTTGACGAGGCACTGAGGGGTGCCTGGACCGTAGAGCTCCGACGTGGGTGCGTTTTCGCAACACGGCGAAGGCGAGATAATGGGAAGGTGATATCTTTCTTGCTCTCAATATCTGTTCGAGTTTGTGAGGGCGCCGACGCGAAGTGAAAAAGGGAATCGGGAGCACCGGCAAGAGAATGTGGTGAGAGGCAAATAATAAAAGTGGGAGATGGAAAGAGAGACTGGGTGGTGGGATGGAAGGTCCAAGATACCCCTCTAAGGTAGTGTACCTGCCTCGGGACGGCGGGATGGGATGGTCGGATGGAAGTTTGGTCCTTCTTCCCTCTACCATTTCTGCATCATTCTTTCTCATTTATCAGAGAGAGCGAACAGCCAAACTCATGTTCTGACCACAAACGCAAGCGTAACTGCTGTACCTCGAGGGTAAGGTTAGTAAGGTAAGCCCAAGTATACAAAAGATGACATCGCCTATTGTTCCTATTTCTCGCCTATCGCAACTTACGAGTATCCTATCCAAGTCTTCACGGATAGTCAGTCGGCCCAGGCCTCCCGGTACATTCCAAAGATGACATCCCAGGACGAACCAGACAAATCAAGACTCCTGCAAACGCGACAGATACCCCGAGGCAGGTCGCGAGGCAGATACACGGCTCAATAGGCTAGCAAGTTACAGCAGCACAGCAGTCTCGCAGCCAGTACCTTGCCTGTCTATACCGTAGCCGAAACAAAACCGCAGGGACGCAGAATGTTTCCCACTCCACGCAATCCCGTATACTTGCGAACCCCGCCCAATCTCGGCCTTTGAAACCGACCGTCCACCCACGACTCTCCCGGGACGTGCAACTTTGGGGGCCTTCCATTAGGCTTTGAGGCCATGTTCCTTGCTGGAGGATCCCGGGAACCTGCACTAGAGCCAGAACCATTCTCGAACCTCTCTTTTCGCGACAACTCCAATCGAGGCCGTCAAACCTACACTGCGAGTACCCACGCAACAGCGCCGCAGCAGTTCACGGGTGCGGATAGTGCCTCTACCTCTGCCGCACTACCGTCTGCCCTGACAGACGCCCCGCTCTCTCGAGATGGTCCCTTCAAAAGAACCAAAAGACCTCAAAGTCACAGGTTCCGAGCGGAGACCGAGGCCGAGAAACACTCAACAATCTTCTACATATTACCATTACCCATGGTTCGAGGTGCGGAAGTGCCCCACCAGATCTTCGGCTACTTTGGGCCCCGATGACATGCTCGTGCTGCCACGGCCTTGGCTTGTTTCTGACCACAGAAGAGCAGCAGCCCAGTCTTCCCCGCGTCTAAGCAACTGCTTATTCGCCATGTCCGGTGTATGTTCATTCGAAGCCCCTTTGTCGATGGAAATTGTCTTTTGGATTTTTACCATTTGACTTGGCTGCAAAACAAACGATAACATGCGTTTCTCACTTGCAGCGAAGCAGCTGTCAGCCTGTCACCACGCACGAGAACTTGCCAGCAGTAGGTATCCTAGTGACTACTGCGCACTCCGTACAGTAGGTATTCCCACACTCGCTACTACTGATGCGGACAGGGGACCCCTTCGGATGACCACACCCATACGTCAGCAGTGCCATCAGCTTTCAGCTTTGCATGTGCCGCCTGGCTGCGCTAGCTCCCATCTCGAGCGTTGAGGTAGCCCACCGACCCAAGATGTTGATTGGTTATGGTGTGTTCTTCTTGCCGAACTAGAAGCTCGAAGCCTCATTCCCGCGTGGCTGTGCAAGGCTTGGGCGAGTTCCCAACTCTCTCACTCGTCAGTCTTGCTTTTGGAGCTTTCGGACTTCAGTGTTCAGAGCCTTTGTCGCCACTTGGAAGCGCTCGCGTGACAAAACACGATTCTCCTGGTTGTCGATTCCTGGGACGGTTTTTGATAGTGCTTCTTGGCAATAGAATCCCAACCCGCTCATTTGCTGGGTTTATTTCAGAGGCACGAGAGAAAAGGCTTCACCAGCTCGATGAAAAGTTGGTCAACGCCTCTTCGGAGGCCCATTCATGCCCGACTCCTAGAGTCTCTAGGATTTGTGGACTGGTAAAGTCCACTCCAGGCGGCCCGCACACCGAATGCCGTGATCCTTGACCGGGCCCTCCGTCCCGTATCAAGGGTTCGCTTTCTCCTCTCGTCACTTGTGTCCGCCAACGTGTATCGTCTCAGACGCAGACTCTTGCTTCGGTCATCGTGTTGAGAACATGGTACTTTTCATCCGACTTGGCAACGGAGGATGCGGGCCCATGGCGACTGACTACTTCGACTGCGGGCGTCTTCCGTGTCTCCAAGCTCCTTCCTTGGGGCAATGTCGTCAACCGGTTATTTACTGCAACCTAGGCATGCCAGCGGCCAAATCATGGTGGAGCAGAAGATCCCATCATCCCATGAGGTCCTCGGGGCCGGCGTGCTGTTCATCACATTCGGCGTTCTCGACCAGCAATGAACAAGAGGCTGGGAGAACCCGGAGAGAACGGATCAACAAACACCGGGTGCCTCCTTGCTCGGGGTCCACTTATCGGCCCGGGGCAAGCCGCGCCCGGAGCTCCCATAACTGCTGACCTCAGCAATGTTTTCAATGGACCCAGGTCGGTAGCAAAGAGAACAGACAGAGTCATACTGGAGAATTATTGAACCTTCAACAGGTCATCAAGTTGTAAAGATCCCCTCTATCGAGTCTGTAGCCAAGTCCATGCCCGGCCTGCTTCGTCTTGGGAAACCATTCCTCATGCCTGGAACAAATACGTCCATATAGTACCTGACTAGGTAACGGGCCCTAAAAGTTAAGATAGCATGCGTAAGAAGGCAATTTAGATTTGCGACAATTCGTCTCAGCCTTGCCGCCGCAATTGCGATGGTCTCAGGCGCGGATGACGAGATAAATCCTATTTCCACCATGCCCTTTGCGACTTCTTCACGCTACTGGCATTGCTTCACGGCCTGGACTTCGCTACAAGCGAATGTCAATATTGCATGATCCCGCGCATGTATAAGCTCCCAGCCCCCGACAGCTGTATTCCTTGCTACCAGGGAGGGTCCTCCCTTCAGATCATCAATTACCGAGGCCTGAGATGCACTTGATGGCACAAGGCGAAGCTGCTGGGGCTTTTTTGGTGTATGTGCTGCAGTACCTAGACGCAGTCCTTAGAGCGCGATGGAGTATTGAAGTTCATAGATAGTAGAGCATCCGTATATATAAGGTAGGTAGCCTGCCTGGGCTTTTGGACGCGGGGCAATGTGTTACACGGTGTGGATGTCCTCCACAACGCGGAGGCGGACGACGAGGCCCAATAGCGCAACGCGTGGGCTGGAAAGTGTAGCTGACGGAGCAAAACAGCCGATAGGAGGCGGATGCAATGGAAGCTGCTGAGACTCGATCGTGCAAGCTCAATTGGCCAGCAGCAAAGGGGGATGGAGTGAGGAAGGTGAAAAGGGTCTGATGTGGTGGGACTAGAGGCCTGCAGCCATGCCTTCCGACGCGGGTAGAAAGTGTAACTTGGGAATCAGCCAAGCAGAAGGTGTTCCCTCTTTCGCCATTGTTATGCTGCCATGCTGCCACGCTGCCCAGTCTGTCGGTCAACCCAAGCCTGGACTTGACATATTCTCTCTGGCGGACCTCGCGGCGCTGCGGCGCTATTCGCCAGTCGACCGTCAGACTACATTAGCCGACCTGACTGGGCTGCCACGCCTCGTGTGTGGCGGCGGTAGCACCGATTGGTATCGTGCTGCAGTGGTCGACAAGACACAGACAGACAGATTTGGATGGGCATGAATCCAATGATGATGGGGGATGAGATGTGTAACGGATGACAGGTGGCAGGGACCGTGACCAGGCCAGCTCAGGTCCATAAACACACCCGACGTTAAAAGTCAATTGTGTCGAAGCTGTATCCGTGCTAAACGCCATCATTTTCTTACTGGGCTTCATGACCTTGAGAGCACACAACCAAAGCTCAGAATGACCTTGAGGAACTGCGGGAGATGGGCGTGAGTGAGTAGGTGAGTGGTGGGAGTGAGATGTGAGGGAGCGGACTGGCGTGGCCTTGGACGTGACGTCCGAGGCATGCCCAACGGAGCTGCCTTGCAGCACAAGGTTGTACAGGTGGCACCAGTAAATGGCAGTGATTCAGGCAGGGTGCATGAGAGAGACCAGTTATCAGGTCTTTTTGGACGCCTAGCAGCACGGCAAAGGCGTGAGGAGGGAGGGGCAGTCGAGGCAGCGGCGGCGGCGGAATGAGGGGCACACACACATTACATACCTTAGTACACTACACTCACCGGGCAGACACCACACACACTCACACCTCACACACGCGAGGTGGTATACTCAGCCCAGTCAATCTGCATGAGTTGTATACCTAATACCTTACAGGTTGCCCAAGAACATACATGGAGGACGAGTGACGGGGATGTTTGATGTCTGCGCAAGGTGAGAAAAGTGGCCGCCATGGTTTTGAGCTTGGCGGAATTACCAGATTGGAGTGAGCCGAGATTGGACAAGACAGAAAATGATTCAGCCAGGAACAGATGATGAAGCCTCTGTAAGCAGGGAGAAAGAACAGCGCTTCATGACACGATGGGGAGTGAGTGACTGGTTGAGCGAGGTGCATCTCAATGTCGGAGAGAAGTCACCGCCAGCGCGAGGTGAAGGAAGGAAGCTCCAGTGTGCTCCACTCTCACTTCTGCCCGCCTTGCTGCACGGACCACCAGCGAGTACCTGGTGAGCCTTGATTGGCCCGTCGCAGAAGAGGCAGGATCGGCCCAGAGCCTTTCCACCTCTTTCCTGCCTTTCTCCCGCAACGAGGCTGTATGTAGACTTCCTCGGTACCTCTTCTGACCCCCCCAATTATCACTGCCCACGACAATTCAGCCATCGCCCAATTCCTCCAGTGCTTGCCTTCCAAAACTTTCCCCCTCCATTGAGCGCCTCCATGATCATAACGCAACTCAATTCCAAACCGCGTTTGTACAAATTGTCTTCCCATTGACAACTGTAGATGGAACAACCCCAGCCATCCAAGAAGCGGCGGCTTATGCCAAAGGAGTCGCCGTCAAATCACACCACACAACCGGCTCCTTTCCCCCATGAATCGGTGAGGATTCTGTTCTGCGCTCCCGTAGCTTGATTTGAGCTGCTGGAATTAACCGTCTCTTGAACCCATTCAGCCTCAGCAGCACCCAACCCAGGAGGCCCCTCCAGCCGAACGCCATGACTTCGAATCCTTCGCGAGGCATCTTCAAGATGCTGCCATGCTGATCCAGCGCCAAACCGAGCGCGCACCCTACGATAGCGTTTCTGTGCTTCTACTGCGCTGGGAGGAGGATACCTCGGTCGAGGCTGATTTGACGGCTTTGGAAAACATACTACGAGACCGATACAACTACCAGACGAATCGATGGGCCATCCCGACCGTACCCAACCCCAGCATCAAGCTTGGGGTTCAGATGGCTTCTTTTCTCGAACATGCCCGACCAAATCACTTGCTGATCATCTACTACGCCGGTTATGCATATGTTGGATCAGATAACCAGCTCTACTGGGCTTGGTGAGTCGAGAATCTGCTGCAAAACACGTCTCCGCACCGTTCTGACCGCCCTTCCATAGCAATATCCGAGAAGATGCCGCAAAGCTCAAGTGGGATGGTGTACGCTGCCTGTTTGAAGATGCTCAGTCCGATATTCTGTTGTTGCTCGACGCCTGCTCCGTTCGTGATATACCCGTGTCTGGAAGCCATGGCATCAAGCAAGCCATTGCAGCTGGCGGTCCTGAGCAGAATCCCAGAGAGGCTGCGGGCAAATCTTTCACATATCACTTGATTGAAGCTTTGCACAAGCTGAGCATCGCGGGCAGACCATTCAGTGTACCGAGGCTACACGAGGAGATTGTCCAGTTGAGGCAGCAGGAAACCGCACAAGCAGCTAAACTCACAAACGGTGCCACCAAAACTCCGCCACCATCACCGCAACTTCCCATTTGCTTCACCCTTACACCTGGAAAAGGTCAAAGTCTGAGCTTAGCTCCCTTGCCTGCTCGGGCGGGTCAACAGCAATCGCCGCGCAATGGGTCTGATGGGGAATCACTGTCGAGGGATGTGCGCGAAGACCAGCTCATTGACCCTGAATCTGTTGCTGATTTACGTTTCGATGAGCCACGAGTGCTTGTGTGCACCACATTCGTGGGAGATGCCAGTCCAGACATGTCTTTCTTCAATGGCTGGCTTCACAACACGCCACCCTTGGCTGCCAAGATCGAGGTTGAGGGAATGTTTCTCGGTCCGCCCACCATGCTTCTAATATCAATGCCCCATTCAATATGGAACGTCGTACAGCACGATAAGGTCTGCTGTTTCCTGGGATACATCACATCACATAACATGATTCACCTGTACCAGAAGCTCAAAGGCTCTGCCGGGATCCCTAAAGTTACAGCAAAGGAAGTCGAGGACGGACGCATCTTGTTGGAAGCGCGAGAGCTGGCGGCAAGTACACCATCTATGCACCAGCGCTCATTAGACAGCAAAGACGCATCTTTCCACGAAACGGCGAACCGCGTCGAAACCACGCCGGCCAGCGTGCCGTTTGCAGCGGCTGCCGCTGCTGCCGCAGTTGTTGATGGCAAGGACGATGTTGAGGATTCGGCCGAGATGCAGGAAGCGGCAGAGCAGCTGAAAGCTCTCAGCCATGTTCGCCACTTGAGCGATGAGGCACCGCCAGCCGTGGAGCGGCAACGTACGACTCTGCCAGATGGGGCGATGCCTGCAAACCACGAGGATACCGGTTCATCCCACGATGCGAATGAGTCTGGTGCAGACGACACGTTGCATTCGATTGACATGAGTACACCCAATGCGAAGGCCAAGCATCGACGATCCTTGCAGAAAGCGACACCGAAGCAAGAGACGAGGTGCACGTTATGTACTCATGCTCCCTTTAAGGATTCTTCGTCACTGCGCAAACATATTGCGGCCGCGCATACAAGGCCGTTCCCTTGTGCCTTCTCGTTCGCAGGCTGTACGAGCACCTTTGGCTCCAAGAATGAGTGGAAGCGTCACATTGCTTCCCAACATCTCTGTTTGCAATACTATCGGTGCTCGTCCTGTCCACAGAGCACAGTCGAGGGCAAGGGCAACGAGTTCAACCGGAAAGATCTCTTCACCCAACATCTTCGTCGCATGCATGCACCTTTCGCGATCAAGAAAGCCATTGCCAAAGGAGACAGTAAATTGCAAGTTGAGTGGGAAGGTCACGTCAAGGAGATGCAGACAACTTGCCTCGTCACACGCCGGTCGCCACCTCAGAGGTCGGCATGTCCCAAGTCAGATTGCCAAGTCGTCTTTGAAGGGCCTGGTTCTTGGGACGAATGGACAGAACATGTTGGCAGACATATGGAGAAGGGTGAGGGCCAGCGACTCGGTGTTGATCGGCTGCTGGCAAAGTGGGCTTTTGAAGAAGGTATCATCGAGCGGAAAGACGACGGCGAGTATCGTCTTTGTGCCGGAAATGGCCCTGGCAACGGTGGTGGCCCTATCGGTGGAGACTCGAAAGACTCGATATCGGTGGCATACCCTGAACCGAAATTGGATGTTGAAGAAACAACTGAGACCAAGGACACTGCCGAGGACAAGATGGAAGTGGACGGCTAGCGTGTGAAAACGGAAACTGACGTGGGCGTTGCGGATTCTTTTCTTCGACCTTATATGCTACGGCGTCATCAACGATTGGAAGGAGTTTAATCGGATACGACTGACATGAGACACATGAACGACTTTCATTCTCTTTGACCATACTTTGCCTCTCACTGGCTCATAGCTCGCCTGCTTAGCGATGATGGAGTAGCCAGTCTCGTTGAGTTCGTGTTGCTAGCACCAAGTGTGGGAAAAGAATAAGGAATCAAGAGAACAAAATGGCAGAAAAGACATTAGCCAAGAGAAAAGAAACCATCTTGAAGATCAATGCACCGTGCCTGTACGATCCCCCGGTCCCCGTTTTCTCTTCAACCGTATCAATCCTATGCAGTTCGTCTGATCTTCTTCAGCCCGGCTTTGTAGAGCGGGCCAGCCGAGAGGAGTCCGGGGAAGAGAGTTCTGCTAATCAATGATGACTAGTCCGCGTGGTGGTGTTGCAAATCACCAAACCAAGCTTTTGAGAGCCACCCGGAGCGGGCCCGGTACTTGCCCGGTAGTTCGAAGCCCTCGGTGCTTCACCTGAACCCGATTCCTGTAGATCCGCCGATGCCCGATGCGCATCAGCGCGCCTGGTTTGGCGTCGCAGTCAAAATGCGGGGAAACTAGCTTTGCCCCTGGCCTTGAATCGTCTTGCTTACCGGTGCCCCTACGTAATTATACACCAGGCACCGTCGACGTCGGGCACGGAGGCTTGTTGAAAGGGTATGGCTTCCCGATGGAGACGCTGATGGTTGTGCACATGACAACGATATTGATTAGTGACATGAACCACTTCTTTCGCCCCCCTCCCCTCCCCCTCTTCTCTTCCCTCTCTCGGTCTGAACTGGGGCTTGGAATTTTGGAAGCGCTGAGGGACGATTGGAAGGATTTCTTAATTGTCCGGCCGAGTTAGCCGCTTCTAGTATCGTTCACTTGATCGTGACGGCGCCTGCCCCCCGGCGGCGTGGAGAAAACGGGGACCGGGACACGAGGAGAAACTAGGCCGGAGTAGGCTGGAGGAAAGCTTGTGAAAGCTTAGGAAAGCTTAACTGACAGGGCTCCTCTGAGATGCGCTTGAATACACGGTATTTGATTGACATGGGGATCCCGGAGCCGGCGGGGGTGGGAACGAGATTGGGTGGGTTGTATTCGATACTATGGATAATTTGGGAATGGACAACGGCGTTGCGATGGTTCACGGATGGGGCTGGCGATTGATGTGTTCCGGGACGAACGGACGATATGGAGGAAGAGGGCAAAGTATATGAAGACCGGGGGAGGACCATGATCTCAGGGCGTTTCTGTTTCTTGGCTCCTTGTGTCTGTTGGCGAATCTTCAAGCCATTGAATTGGTTCACCCACACTTACACGCACTTTGGCTTGACAAGAGCATTGAGTGACTTCACGATGCGTCTGTTCAACGGCCTCGCCTCCCTGCTCGCGGGCGCGGGCCTCGCGCAAGCCACGCTTCAAGTCGTTTCCGGCGGGACATGGTCAGCGGTAAGAAACAGACACTCCCCCTCTCCCCCTCCAGCATCCTTCTTCCTTCAAATCCAGTTCCATAGAGAGGCGATCACCCAGTTAATTTCTGTCATGATACAATCCAGACCAACACAGGCCGCCACATCCAAGCCCACGGCGCCGGCGTGACAAAAGTAGGCTCGACGTACTACCTCATAGGTGAAGACAAGACCGAAGGGTCGGCTTTCCAGAACATCAACTGCTACTCCTCGACCAACCTCGTCGAGTGGACCTATGTCGGTGCCTTACTCTCGCGCACCACGGCGGCGGGCGACCTGGGGCCCTCCCGGGTCGTCGAGCGTCCCAAGGTGATTTACAACAGCGCGACGAAGAAGTACGTCATGTACATGCACATTGACAGCAGCAACTACGGCGAGGCCAAAATCGGAGTCGCGACGAGCGATACGGTGTGCGGCAAGTACACGTATCTTAGTAGTTGGCAGCCTTTGGGGTTTCAAAGTCGTGATATTGGGTTGTTTCAGGATGATGATGGGTCTGCGTATTTGTTGACTGAGGATGTGAGTTCTGAGATTACCTATTGGATCCCCTTTAACTTGCTGTCTTGACGACGGGGGATGAATGTGAAAGATAAGCTGGAGACTGACAGAGTTAAACCCAACAGCGACCCAATGGTCTCCGAATCAATGCCCTGAGCTCGGATTATCTCAACGTCACGCGCAACGTCTACCTCTGGCCCGATCACATCGAGGCCCCCGCCATCTGGAAGAAGAACGGATACTACTTCATGTTTGGAAGCAAGCTTACCGGCTGGGACCCGAACGACAACGTAACGTTCTCCCTTCGCTCCCCACTTCCAAACAAAGACTGACATACTCTCCTTCAAGGTCTACTCCTACGCAACCTCCCTCGCAGGCCCCTGGTCTTCCTGGGCAACCTTCGCCACCGTCGGCTCAAAGACGTACACCAGCCAGACGACCTACATCCTCCCGCTGGGCGACACGGCAATCTACATGGGCGACCGCTGGGTCAGCACGAACCTCATGCGGAGCACCTACGTCTGGCTACCCCTCGCCATCTCGGGCACCACAATCACCCTCGCCGACCGCGTCAACTGGACGCCCAACGCCGCCGCCGGCACCTGGGCCGCGGGGCCCAGCGAGACGTCGTACGAGGGCGAGTCCGCGACGCTCGCGGGCGGCGCCAAGAGCGTCGCGTGCACGGGGTGCAGCAGGTCCGCGGCGGCGGGCTACGTCGGAGGGTCAGCCGGCGGGAGCGTGACGTTCTCCGGGGTGAGCGTGCAGGCTTCCGGCAAGACGACGGTGCGCGTGAAGCATTTGAATGGCGACACGAGCCAGCGGTGGGGCACGGTGACGTGCAACGGCGTCTCGCAGACTGTTGGCTTCCTGCCGACTTCTGATGGGAACACGCCCGGGAGCAGCTCCGTGTTCTGTAGCCTTACTGCTGGGTCTGCAAACACTATCAAGATTGCCAGCTCGGATTCGTCATGGGTTGCTGACATTGACCGCATTTTCGTGCCGGTCAATTAGGGGTAGAGTGTCACGAAAAGTTGAAGAGGTTGTGGAAGACATCATGAGGATGGTATAGGCAAGTGAAGTTAGTGATATTCACACAATAAATATATACATGAAGAAAAGTAAAGACACCCCGCTACATCCAGGTGACCCATCATCCATCTCAGTTGAGCTCGATCACGAAAGGTCCAGTCAAGGCGTACTCGACAGCAACCGTCTTGATGGTCTCCTGTCTCTTCGCAGGAGTACCTCCACTGAGAAGCGTAACCTTGGAGACCTTGAGCGGCGTCGAGTACTTGAACTCGCCATCCACGGAAACCTTGCCGTCCTTGTAATCAAAGGTGACGAGCGTGATACCTGCCTGTTCCTCACTGACACCATCGTCGAGATATAGCTGGCCCTTTGCAGTGCCATCCCTGCCAGCCGCGATCAAGAGCTCAAAGTTCTCCTCGCGCAGCTGCTTCGTCGTCATGGTGCTGTTCGCGCGCAGAGGCAGCACGGTGCCGCCGCGGATGAAGAGCGGGATCGTGGTGTAGTCCTTGTCTGTCAGGGAAATTGTGGCACCGGTGCCCTGGATAGCCTCATGGGTGTACCAGTCATAGAAGACGTCGTCAGGGAGGTAGACATCAACTGAAGTTGAGTTCTCTTCCGTCACGGGCGCGACGAGAATGGCGTCACCGTAGAAGTACTGAAGGTCCAGACCGAACGTCTTCTCGTCCTCGGGGTAGAGGTAGAAGAGCGGGTTGATGAGCGGAGTGCCGTCCTTGGTCTGCTGGTACAGGGCAGTGTAGATGTAGTCAAGCAGGCGGTAGCGGATGGCGATGGCCTTGCGAGCGCTGTCAGCCACCGTGTCCCAGCGATAAAACTCCTGCGAAATACTGTCGATGGAGTTATGGTTACGGTAGAATGAGGAGAAGGCGGCGAGGGCGGCCCAGCGCGCGCAGAGCTGTTCGTTGGTGTTGTCGCCGAAACCGCAAGCATCGGAGCCGACCATAGGCACCTGATACACAGCAGCAAACTGCATCAGCTGGGAGATGGAGACGCGGTACTGTTGCCAGTTGGAAAGGTTGTCGCCGAGCCAGTGGCCTACATGCTTTCCGACGCCGGCGAATGTGGAGCGGGTGATGATGAGGGGGCGAAGACCCGGACGGCGGGCTTCCATGGCAACTCGGGAGGCTGAGGACATCATGGAGCCGTAAAGATTATGGGTATCGTACATGGCCAGGCCGTTTTGGTGGATCACGTCCGTGTTCACGGTCTTGTTAGAAATCCCACCACGGGCTGCGTTCGACTCAGTGTCCCAAGCGGCCTTGTTGTGGATGGCGTACTTGGGGAAGAGAAGATCGCGGTCTGGCAGACCCTTCTGATCACCGGATGATTGTCTCTCGGCGAGCACCAAATTGTCAAACGTCTGTCCGGCGGGCACCATTCTAGGCGACATCTGCTTTCGAACGAGGACATCAGATCGCTTGGTCTGGTTGTTACCGCAGTCGGTTCCAGGAGGTTGGAAATCGCAAGGCCAGCCGGGGAGAGGTCTGGGGTTCTCGCGGACGGCTGGTGGCTCGGGAGGGAACCCAACAGCGGAACCGTAAGGATCGTCGCAGGGGAAGTAGCAGGGGAAGTTTGACGGCTCGTTCATGTCGATCCAAAGGGCATCAATGTCGACTCCCTTATCGGCCGAGAAGAATTGAGCAAACTCGTTGTTCCAGAAGGAAGTGATGTTCTCTGCGAAGAAATCAGGGAACACAGTAACACCAGGCCAGACGACGCCGATCCAGACGGAACCGTTGCTACGGAGAAGCCAGATGTTGTCGTCAATGCCGCGTTGCAGGGTGGGTGATTCGACGTAGGCCACTGCAGGGTCTACCATGACGATATAGTGCTGATCATTTTCGTGAAGCTTGTCGACAAGCTGGCGGACCTTGGCCAGGGGGTAACGCTCAGGGTCGAGAGAGAATACTCTGCGGGTTGTTAGTCTAGTTGAAGGAGTACATAGCATGTTAATTATCGCTTACCTTCGCCTGTCCATGTAATCAATGTCGGTCCACATAGTCTCGAGGGGGATCTCGGCGATGCTGTAGTTGTAGACAACCTCAGCAACGTCAAAGACATCGCGGTATCCGTAACGGCATTGGTGGAAACCTAGACCCCAGTATGGCATCATGGCTGGCAGGCCGGTAATCTGAGCGTATTGCTGGGCCACCTCGATGGGAGAAGGACCGGAAACAAAGTAGAAGTCGAGGACTCCGCCGAGGGTGTTGTACTGAAGATATTGCCCAGACTCCTCCGTCTTGTTGATGAAGACGTCCATGCCGTTGGAGTTCAAGAAGAAGACTCCGTGGGTGCCATTCTTGCGGTGCTCGTAGTAGACGGGGTGGTTACCATACAAATTGGCACCAGAGGGAATGCCGTACGAATCCTGGGACCACAACGTGCGGATGTAGTCAGTCGTGTTCAGACGGAAGGGATCCGAATGCTCGCCCAGACCGTACAGGTTGGGGTTCTCGGGCAGCTTGGTCCGGAGGCGGAGGTACTGGCTTTCAAAGACGATGTTGGCTCCGGAAGTGTCGAAGAGAACCTCGCCTGTGTCGGAACGGCTCACGCTGAAGGAAAAGGGGTTCTCGGTGTAGTTGAATTGCAGCTTGGATTCTGCGATGGTCAAGCTGGTGGCCTCGGGGCGGGGAAACACAGAGTTGGGGATCTGGTACACCTGGTTCGCGGCATCCTGGATCTTGACGTGGAGACGGGTATCTGCAGTATGTCTGAGTATTGGTTCACAAGGCACAGAAATGACACGGGATGGCTATGAAGAAATCGAGGAACTCACCAGTTTGATATTCGACAGTCAGAGTCAAGTCTGTCAGATCGGTTCCGTACGCATTGCATGCTTCACCGGCCAGCGACAAGTCTGCTGTCAATCCAGTCGAGGACAGCTGGACGTTGGAAGCCTTGTAGCCCGGGCATTTTGAAAGCGCGTCGTCGCTAGGATAGTCTCTGCGGATCACAGCAGCTGAAGCTACTGCGCTGAGTAGTCCGAGGACAGAAAGCTTTCTCGCCATGTTGACAAGCTTGGCAGAGTATGGGCAAACAGGGCAAGAGAAGCTTGGACAACAGTCCACGACATGGCCCAGTGGCGGACTTTATACCTGGTGTCGCTTTGCAGATCAAAGGACCTGGTTATGCATCGTTACATTGGCTGAGAGTGTAAGTTGGAATACGCGACCCCGCTAGAAGGCGGCAACGGACGTCTCCTGCTCTCCAACCGTTCATCCCGAAAGCTCCTGGGTCCCCGTTACCTAATTGGGCTTTCACGCAAAATGTTTTTAGGCGACTTTTGCGGACGGCCCGTGATAGGTGCAGGGCCAGAGCATGAACGTCATCCAGTCTTTCATCTGCAGTGTCCGGAGGTCCCTGGGGATGCCTGGTCCATGTCGTATTCTCCTGGCGCGTAGCTCGCCAAGGTTCGGGACCGCTCATTTGCGGCTAGAAGTCTATTTAATTGAATGGCGCGAGCGAGTAATGGAGCGAGGTAAGGCCGTGTCTACCTAGATGAACAGCAGAACAAAAAAGAACAATGCAGGAAATATGCGGTATGGGAAGGTCACGCTGTTCATTCCTCGTTCTTGGAATCGACTTCCCCGCAGTCTACCGGCTTTACAGTTGGGAGCTACGGGACTTTGGGGGGGGGATGATGATGTGCATCTGCGCCAACTGCAGCGGGGGGACAAGAGCGAGATGGAGAAAACGCATCATGCTAGAGCGGCGCTAGTGTACTAAAGCTTGCTGCTTGCCCGGTGCAAGGGTAGCTGTCTGCATGGATGAGCTGTCATTGGTGGTGTCTGAGGTAGGGATGAAGGAGTGTTGAAACGACACTATGAAAGCGAGAGAACTGGTCCAATCTTTTCTGTTCATGTTTCGTTTGTTTCTACATACAGTACTCCGTACGGATACCTTACCTTGCAGTGGCCTCCGGCTTTTTAGCATGGGATAGGACAAGCCCGGCGGGATGGGGTGCCCAACGGCCCGAATGGGTGGCTTGACCGGATGGCGGGGAAGCTGGAGGCCCCGCATCACCCCGCACCCGCTAAATAATCGGTAGCCCCCGGTAAACTTGGTCCGGCGGCGGAGTCTCCGCAAGCTCACCATCTGATGTCTCTCTTTCTTGACTTCTTCCCCGTTCTTCTCCGCCTGTAGTGTCTGGCGTTGCCTCAACTGCTCGCTTCGACCTTGCTTCTCTCCAGGTCCAAGGCTTGGAGTTGGCAGCACTCAAAATTGCAATCGGCCGAGATGAGCATGGCCTCGGCCATATTGTCGGGAGGATCTGATGTGCCAAGCGGATGTAACTCCCATGGGTTAGGACGAAGAAGCAACCCAAGGTAGAATAGAATCCATGTTCATCGCGAATTTCAACTACTTTTCTCTAGTCTCAACATTGGATAACTTCGTCATGCTCTATCGGAGGCAGTTGGCTCCCTCATCTTTCTCTGACTACTTCTGCCAGAAACATCCCTGGATGCCTTGAAATGAGAATTTCTATAATGTAGTATGAGAAACTAAGGATCGCCAGCTGCCTGATGAGACTGGTCAAAAGAAGTCGCGAGTCGTAGAAATTAACGCTTGCTGGGGAACCTGGTTCTTCATTAATACCTTTTTCATGTTACAAAAGTAAGTAGTACCACGCCCTTAAAAGGTGTTTGGGCCGCCCTGTAGTCTCAAGAGTCCCGTAAAGTACCCTCTTCTGCCTGTCCATAACAGTGAACCGGAAACTGTAACCTCTAGCTTTTTGTCAGTCTTGGTAGACGATGGTTTCATATTGCACCATTGATCTGTACGCTTACTTGGCATCTCGCTAATAATCATTCATTGAACCTCTCAAAGAATCTTCTGTTTGATGTGAAAACCAGCTTGAGATGCCATACGCAGTACCAAAGCTTCTCCTATCTCTTCCCAATAAAGCCACCATCACTTTCTTCTAAAGCTACCTCCCCCCAAGACTGGCAGTGCTTCTATGTGCCTTTGAGAAGGCATGAAATATCCTAGTGATGTAATAACCTGCGAGGGACTCGGGTTTCCTTCGGCCACATGCTTGGATAGAATTCTTCGACTTCGTCGGACATGACATATCATCAGTATTACAGATTCTCAAGATCATCTCATACATGGTGGCTGAGGTGGTCTACAGACCACTATACTCATGCCGTGTGGTCCCGAATCACGACAGGCAACTGTTCGAGAGCCAGTCTTGACGCCCCGATGCTATCTTGGTGTTCAAGTACTCTGGTGATATGGTCCTCCAAGGCAGCAAAGGAACTTGAATCGATATATGCCTCCTGAATTCCCATTGCAATTAAGCTCCATAAAGAGACGACCAGCTTCCACAATCATAAACGACGCTGAATTCCCCCGGGGCAAGCCTAAGTATCTCACGCTGAGCTTCATGGCGAGAGCACCCGCCTCCATGATGACAGACTGTAATAACTCTTCCCGGAGAATACACAACCAGGCTCAAAGATGAAGGCACCCCGCCTCTATCAAAATGAACAATAACAGATGCTCCCGCAGCAAGTCCAATCCCCTTCAAATGGACCCTACGAAAGGAGCACCCGTCTCCATAAAGATAAACAGAATGAAGTTCCCCCGGGGCATATCTGACTAGGCCCCACGACGAGGGCACCAGCTTCCACAAAGGTAAACAACAACAAATCTTGCTCAAGCATACCCAAACCTCTCTTTCCCTTCTTCCTCACCTCAAAGAAGCTGGGTCAAAACATCATCAACCTCTGTCGTCAAGGGAAATCCATCCTTCGAGTAAGTTTGAGATACATCTATCTCCATCAACAAGTCTTTGCCATTCTGACGATACATTCCCGAGCAGCAGAACTTCTACTGGCGATTGCTCGAGTCTTTTCGACTATTTGTGCCAGTACGCGAGCTCATCAGACCTTTATTTACCCCGAGCGAACGGCTTCTTTCGCGTCTAGCTAGGTATCATTACCTACCAGCAGTTATCTTTCTTTTCCCCCTTCCTTGCCTCTCTATCCTGGTGTCGAACGCGATTCTCAGCAACGCTTTGCTTGAGGATTGAGCTTTTTTTTTCTCTCTCGACCGAAGTCCCATCAAGTTGCTTCGCTTTCATCGAAGGATCTTCTTCTAGCCCTCCCTCGTCTGTGTCCACCATCGACTTACCGAGCTTCCCGACTCTGAAGATCGATCAAGCCGACACTCTAGCCGGTAAGTTTCAGTTCGACTTACCCATTTACCTTCAGCTAACAGTTATTTAGCTAGAGCCCATCCTCAAAGTCAAATTTGACTACGGGTTCCCCAAAGAATACAGAGCAAAATGGCATCTCGTGGCACTGATGAGAACGAGGGCCTTGGCGATGTCCGCCGCACTCATTCACCTGCGACTGATCCTATGCCCCAGGATCCCTTCGGTGACCCTGATTCTGACTCTGAGCTCGGCGAGTTGCCCAGTGATGAAGAAGAGGAGGACCTCTTTGGCTTTGGATCTCCGTCGGACGAGCTTGATGAGTTGCCCAAAGACACTGAAGAGGACCTCTTTGGCCACCCAGAGAGCGCCGATGACGAAGGCGAACTCACCGAGTCGCCTGAGGATACCGAAGTGGACCTGTCTGACTATCCTGAGGACGACGCTGAAGTCCAACCCATTCGCGAGTACCAGGAGCCTCTGCCTGCCCGCTTGGCTCGCGAGCACGACCGTTATCGTGCCAGCAAGAAGGTTGCCCAGGGCACTGATGACAAGCCCATCATGAAGTCAGTCCAAGGTTTGGATGGCGCTTACGACATGGAGCCCTCGGACAGCTCTCATGACCCGGCTGCGACCCCGACCAAGCCGGCCCATCATGCTGTGAAGACTCCGCGTACGGCCAAGGCTCCCCGTATCTCTGACGGAGCCCATGATGGAAAGGGCACTGGTGTGAAGAAGTCCGGCCCCGGTATTGCCAAGGCCCTTGATTTCGATCCCAGCCCCAAGCACTACCTTGGTCTCGGCAAGAAGATGAAAGGTGATGCTAGCCCCGAGGCCGACTCTGCTACGGCCATCGGCAAGCACGACGTCGAGTGCGGCCCCTCTACCCCGCCTCCTGGCTTCCGCTACGACGAGGAGGGCCACGGCCGCCCGCCTCCTAGTCGCCCTCGCAGCGTCAAGACAGCTCCCACAGTCATGTTCGCCGACACCGACGTTGAGGATAACTCGCCGTCCACTCGTCGTCAGAAGAACCGCGTCCGTATCGCGTCGGCCTCGAAGTCTGCCTCGCTTGAGCGTCCCTCGATCCAGCCCGCTGGCCCTCGACCCCTTGGCCTCGAGCCTGCGTACTACGAGCCCATTAACGCTGGTGTCCCAACCACCCCGACCAAGGCCCATCGTAAGCGAAGCCGCGATCACTATGAGAAGACTCTTACACTCGCTGGACAAGACACTGCGAACATGAAAGAGATCATGGCCAATTACGCTCTTGCAAACGGCGAGAAGGCTGACGATGCGGTCAGTGAGGATGGCGAGGGTGACGAGCTCACGCCCAAGGCCTCTATCCTCAACAGCCACATGGACATTGACGAGGATTAGTCTGGGTACCGAATGGTCTGAGAGGAAAAGTGGTCTCAATTGGTCTCATTCGGATTGCTCTTGTTTTAATTTCCACTTGGGCATCGTGTTCCTTAAGGTTCTATCCAGAGAAGGAAGGAAGAACTGGATAGGAGGAAAGACCGAGGGCCCGTCGTTGGCCGTTAGTTGGCTGATAGCCGTTTTGTGCATAACCCACCCAAGATAGTATCGCTTACGTTAGCAGCTCAATCCTCAGTTCACTTGCAAACTTGATCCGCTTAAGTCAATATCTCATCCACCATGGGCGTCTCGCAGCATTCACACCCCCTTCTGCCCCTTCCACCCTCTCCTACCACTCCAAACCCAAAACGGTACGGAGAGCAGATACATCCCACGAAGGAGACCCGTCGCACCCGCACCTAGACACACGCGCGCCAGATAAGCTCCACCCCTCAGAAGCGTCTTGTCAATCAAGGTTGCCTTTTTCTTCTTTTGTGGCAGCAGCGGTGCCGGCGCTGTCACCCCGTCCCCCCGGTTCACCTCCGGGTAAAACAGAGAAGCGAAGCGAGCACGAGAGCAGAGCAACCATCTCACTCACGACAGCTGCCCGCCAGTTGTGCAACCCAACCCACACCCCTCCCACTCGAAAGCGGGCAGAAACACCAAGGGCCATGAACTTTCCTGCCTCAACCTCCAACGACTTCGCCTTCAACCCCATCCTCAGCTCCAACAACCAGTCGCAACAGCAGTCCCAGCAGCAACAGGTCCAATTCTCTTCCCGCCAGCTCCAGCTGCAGCAACAGCAACAACAGCATCAGACTCAACAGCAGCGGCAGCAGCAGCTCCACCAGCAGCAACAACAACAGCTACAGCTACAACATTCCCTCCCGCCGCCGCAACTTCCTTCGCCTGCGCCGTCCGCCAACGCGCAATCCCTCTCGGCCGCCCAGCAAGCCCTTGCCCACGCGCAGTACCAGCAGTTCGTCCTCATGAACGGAATGAACGGCGGCAATGTGCCCAACGGCATGGGCGGCGTGCCCACCCCTGCCGGTCAGCAGGCCGAGCTCAACTACATCTATGGCATGGTCGAGGAGCTGAGTAGGCAGCTTACGGAAAACCGTCGCGTCACCGAGGATATTGTCTCTGGTCTTGGAAGGGTGCGCAGTCGCGCGAGGACGCAGGGAATGGGCAATGACGACCTCATCCACAACGCTGCAGACGACATTCTTGGTACGCCCTTGCTGCTCGCACACCCGCCCACGCGCACATGTCCCAATTGCTTTTTACCGTAGTCACTGACACATGGCACCTTCTCTTCAGCTCAAGAACAGAATCTCGACACCCTCATCTCCATCCTCTCCGAGTCCCTTGAAAAAGCCAAATACAGCCGCGACGCCAACGCGACACTCCTTAGCCAGTACGCGACAGTCTTCGCCGCAATGCTGAAGCAATTCCACGAATACAAGGCAAAGCACGTCACCGATGTCGCCGCATGGCACCGCTCGTACCGATCCCAGCTCGCCGAAGCCCGCGCCGAGAATAGCAGACTCCGAGAACAGATTTGGGAAATGCAGGAACGCGCGGGTAAGGCGAACGAGGTGCTCCGCAACTTCCGCCGCAAGTACGACGAGGACGAGACGCGGTGGGATCGGCGCGTGGAGGACGTGGCCGCGCGCCAGGAACTTCGGTTCTGGAAGCGCATGGCCATGCCCGAGGTCAGCGACGAGGACCCTTGCTGGAGCGACGACGACGACCTCATCGACCCGGCGGAGAAGGAGCGGTTGAAGGAGCTGGAGAAGAGAGCCGCTCAAGAACAGCTTTCTGGGAGCCAGCAAATGGGAGACGAGTACTCGCGTCCGCAGTCGCCGGAATCCAGCATGATGGGTGGCGTCCCGATGCAGAGAGATCTAGGAATCCCCATGGGTATGCCCGTTCCGCCACCAAGACCCTCGAGTGCGAATTCGAGCACTGGCTCCTCTGGCCAGTGAAGGCAGTACACAATGCATTTAGTACCTGTTTTATGAAGCATGCCATCGGGATTGTGGTGGCGTAAGGAGCATTCTGGGTAAAAAAGCTTGCTGGCGTTGGGGGTTGCTGGAAAGGAGAATCGCTTGCAAAGCAAATGGGCGATCGCATTATACCTCTTGTGATACTGGCCAAGCACCTTAGCCTTGGTCTCTTTTCACGAATACATTAATGAATGGTTTGTTGAAATGAAACGAAACTCCTACTGAGACTGTTCGTTGTGTACTGTTACTACTGTTACTGTTGCTATTCAATTACTAAGGAAAGCAAAAGACACCCAACTCCGACTGGTTCTCGCCGCACAAAGCCCTGACCGCCACAGTTAGTCAACTCAGCGGTATCGCTGTACATCAACGGCATAAATCACTTTTCACCACGGACTAAAGTGACTCCCCCGTCGTCCGAGATGGGAACATCCTCAAGCAGACGGATACCCGTCTGCACATCCATGTCATCCAATGGGACGAGCATAGGCTGCTTCACCTTCATGATTATCGACTGCCAAACCCGATAGCCGATATACAACACAATCGGGATAATCGTTCCAATGTTGTCGCGGATGACGGCCTGCGCATCATGACCACCGATGGGCCAAATTGCCGTCAGGACATTTGCAGCGAGCCCTATAAAGCAAATGGCGAGTCCAACCCAGCCTCCCCAGACGCCAAAGGGGCTCCTCCAGAGAAGCTGACTGGTATCATTTCCCTGCGCAGCCCATGCCTTGCGGAAACGAATATGACTGACGCAGATGGACGCCCACGTGTAGTAGTTGCTAGCTCCCGAAAGGCTCAATAGCCAGTCAAAGATGGCGCCGCCGCCGGGCGCCAGGTTGATAAAGGCAAGGAGGCCAAAAACGGACGTGATGGCGAAGGCATATACAGGCACGCCCCATTTCACGGTGGCTCCCCACCGAGGGCCCATGCCCCTTTCGCAGATAGCTTGGAAGGCTCGGCTGGCAGCGAAGATGCTGGTGTTGGCCATTGAAATGATTGCCAAAACGATAAGGGCGTTGAAGAAGCTCGGGAGATGCTGGATGTTGGCGAGTTGTGCTGCGAGTGTGAAGGGGCTATACTTGGCACCGTGGCCGGTTGAGGCCAAGCCAGGGTCATCGGACGGGACGACGAAACCGAGCAAGAGGAGCGATATGATATAGAAGAAGAAGATGCGGCCAAATACGATCTTGGTCGCCAAAGGTAGGGCTTTCTGGGGATTCTTGCACTCAGCCGCCGTCAGGCCCAGGAGCTCCGTGCCACCGTAGGACATGCCGGCGGTTCGGAATACGAGAAAAAAGCCCGATATGCCATTCTTCACCGCACCGGGGTCATGCCAGAACTTAGCTCCTGTTCCGTGTCTAACGAACGGTTAGATTGCTTTATGACAAAGTGCGATTCAAGCAGAAGATAAGTACCGTGGATCTGATGGAACGGCGCCAGTGATAATGAAGATCGCAACAAAGATGAAGACGGTGATAGCGAGGGCCTTGCCGATGCCGAGGGCATGTTCAATTTCGCCGAACCACTTGGAGCCGAGGAACGAGGTCGCGGTCAGAACGATCAGTATTGGCGTTATCACAAAGGCCGGCTGTAAGTCTGGGGCCCAGTACTTGATTTGAGCTGCGATCACCGTGAGCTCGAAAGGAAAGACAATGAGCCAGTTAAACACGAAGTTCCAGCCCATTGCGAATCCCCAGGGTTCTGATATCATGCGTCTCGAATACTCGTAAAAGGCGCCTGCTACAGGATACGCGGCTGCAATAATATATTAGTTGGGCACTGCTATTGCGGTCTGACATATCGATACAAGGGGGGAGTTCGGGACAGAGATGCGGAAGAACACTTACCGGCCAGTTCACCCAGGCAGCCCATGGTACATGTTACGCCGAAGCCGACGAGAGCGAAGTTGAGGACGAGAGATAGGGGTCCGCCAGAGCCGAGAGCAGCACCAGAACCGACGAAGAGGCCGGCACCAATGGAGCCACCCAAAGCCATGAATACCATATGCCGTATGGAGATGTTTCGCTCGAGCTTAGCGCCTTCGGCGGCGTCGATGGGATCGGACATGCCTTGGTCGCTTGGTGACCTCGTGGCCCTCATCTTCAACATCGTTGCCTCTTTGTTAGGAGCCATCATGGAAAATTTGCAAGGGAGATAGATATAAAGAATGAGGATGAAGATGGCAAGATTAGGGAGCGAATGTGGGGGAAAGAGGTGACGGCATGATGGAAGCCGTGATGGAAGCAGAGAACGGAACTCGGTCTATATAAAGGAAACGTAGCAGCTTCGAAGGGCGGGCATCCCGATGGAAGTGAGCAGGGGCGGGACGACAATACCACGGCACATGACTTTGAACGGCTCATGTAAAGATAAGAGAGGGCAGAGATCCCGGACGGTCGAGCCTTCACAAGGTTTGGAAAGGGCGTTCCGGGCCTCTACGGCCACGCGAGTGGCAGTTGCTCCTGGCCGGGGCTGTCTCGCGGTCTGCAGACATTGTGCTCATCTCTGCCAGCTATCTTCTTATTCTCTACTAAATATCACACATTCAACCATTACGGGGGAAGCACTCGTTCGTCAACAACGAAATGCCTCGAGCATAAGACCAGAAGAGCGCCAAAAGACAATTCTCTTCGCAGTCCTAAGAGCCCCGAGTCGCTAGGTCAGCTCCATATCGAGATGTGTCGACCAAGGTCCTCACGCCAGCCTGGCCGGCAATGATTCTGGCGCCACGCATGTAGCATGGCAATGATTTACGGAACCCCACCAGGTGAAGCCGAGAAGTGAGTCAGGAATGGTTTGTGGTCCAGAAAGTCAAATATGCGCAGTAGTATTTCGTGAGTTGTCACTTCTCGGGGAGCAAGCACAGAAGTTTTGAAATTGATCCATAAGTTTCGGCTTCATCAACGGGATCAATCCATCTTAAGTTCCCCTGATTTTTCAGAAGAAACATCGACGATGCTATTTGGAAGAAGAATCACGTCAACATTGTGTTCCCCGATGTGAAACTCAGACCAGCCTTACATGCCATCATGGCTGTTACACATTTGCTCTGACTAGTCACGATGTATAGTACGGGGGCTTGTCTCGAACAAGCCCTCATGCTCGTTGTCCCGTGACGGGAACATGCTTTCTTACGTGCAGCTGTGTGATTTTGACATTTAGTTAGGCCTGAAGCTTGTCCGCATACGATCGTTGCGCCACAGAACATGAGTGGTTGCTGGCGTCTTACTCGTAGCCTCGCAACCTGGAGGGCTGGTACCGCATTGGGCACGTCTTATGTCCAAGGTACATCACTACCACCCATTCTTGTCCTTGGCCGGGGATACAGAAGCATTGAACTCGCCAGATGAGGTTCAAATATCACTTACTCCTCAAGGAGGCGCGAGATGAGCCTCACACGGCACGCTCTCTGCCGGAGAAATGTAGTTACTATTCGGAGTTGTGGGCTCAAACCAGGCAACATCGTTTGAAGAAGGCCATATATCCTCATGAGCCATATCCTTGTGGCAAACCACTTGCTGGTCGACATCCAATCGAAACCGGCATACACGCTATCATACAAGCAGAACCTTAAGTAGAAGAGAAACCATAATACTCAAGTAGATCAGTAGCCACTTTGCTCCCGACGCGAATCGTCCTTATCGTCCTTTGACCCATTGGCTGAACCTCCCGCGTCCTTGATGGCCTGGTCGTCGCCTCTGAGCTTGGCAAAATAAGACTTGATGTCCTCTGCGCCAATTGCTTTGCCGCTCTCTGCAAATTGCTGGAAGAACGGCTTCAACTGGTCTTTCAGATGGTTGTACGCCATGACACCTTCGATGGCACGAACACGGTCTACATTGCGCAAGGCACTCTCTCCGCGCTCCAGGAGGCTGCCGCTGCCATTTGTGGAGCCTCCGTGCTCCGAGTTCCCGCCATCAGACATTGGCGGCTCGTACGTTTCTTCCTCTTCCAGAAGCTGTGGGTGCGGGTCTAGATTAGGGTAGCATGACGAACATCGACATATGTTGTTGCGGAAGTCTTCTGTCATAAAGAGCGAGAACTCTCCGGCCGGTGGAGATGGAAGTAAAGCCCACCGACATGTAACGGACGAAGCCTCCTGAGTCTCCTGCTTAACAGCAGGAGCACTGCTGGTGGGTTGACCCTCGGCTGGCCCAGATGTACCTTTCAGTCGCTTAGCCTCTGATACGTCGGCGTCGTCTTCTGCCTTTCGTTTCTTGGCCACCTCCTCCGTGCCTATTACCTCTGCGTTCTTCTGAGTCGAGAAGACTGCTGGTAGGAATCCCTTGGCGCCCGCATACTTTTTGATCCACGGGTTGGCATTAACGCACTTGTAGCATAGGAATGCTTCAAAGTCGTCCTCGCCTGGAAAGCCGGGTGGCATCGGTGGGTCTTCGTCCTCATCCTCCACATCCTCATCACCGTCCTGTTTCTTGGCGGCCGTTGCTTCGTCCCCAGGGCGCGCTTCCGAATCTTCCGAGATTGTGGGCATAGCTGTGGCCTCTGTGGGTTCCTTAACAGTTGCGGGCTTCTCCTTCTTCATGCTCTCAAACCAGTTGGGCCCCATTCCAACCAAGCAGCCAGGGTGGTACCAGTCTTCGCCGCAGCCGCCTGTCTCGGACGTACCCAGTCCCAAACACTGAAACATGGTGCCTTTCTGCTGGAAGGGGTCATAATCACACTCGCACGCACAGAATCTATTTCTAAAATTCTGGTTGTACTTGTTGTTCGCGTCCGGCTCCTCCGAATGCACGCCGCCCTTGGTATTAGTAGTAGAGTTGAGGCGCAGACTGCAGGGAGTGGTAGGCGGATATCTCTTAGTACCGCAGTCGCATGTGAAGTTTCTCTTGGTGAATATCTCGACAAGAGTGTGTTCGCCGTGGCACTGGATAGAGCAAGCATAGCAGACTCCTGCACCATCATATGGGTCCTTGGGTTCGGCGGGGGGAGGATTGCAGGTCAGGCAGGCGAAGACACTCTGGCGAAGGGATCCGAGAATATTGGTGCAGCTTTCGATGCTCTGTGAAAAGTCAGGATAGCTGATCTTGTAGATAGGAGGGAGATGCGAGAAGACGAACATAGGGAAGAGCCTCGCGCGCGTCGGCTTCCAATTGCATCTGGTCCCTTATGAATCTGTGCGAAAGACAGCGGTCAGTCCAAGCTCAACACTGGCGAATACTAAGGGATAGTTCACTCAGCAGCAGTTTGAGAGTCGGTGGATTTCTGTGACGAGAAACTTTCGCTGCGTGTAGTCTTCGGCGCGACAACTGGGGCATCGGTGTCGCCGGCCGAAGCTGGTGGCGGAGGGGGGTCCATTGACATTGTTAAAGGTGCGCAATTCCAATTTCAGATGATTGAATTGATTCGAGGGGTTTGAGGTGATCGTTGAAGAATGGTAGAGGAAATGGGCGTCGAATGCGATAGAGTGATTGATTGAGGCAGTGTAAGATAAGTATGAAAGCAGACCTGAACATTGAGGTAAGTGTTCTGGGTCCAGTACCATCGAGAAGTCGCGTTTGGGGAAGCTGGTACGTCAGATACGTACCCTGCACTTTCCTCTCAGCTGTCCACAATTGCCCATTTACGCGTCGTCTGTTTTAGGCAAAGTGCCACTTTACGCGCTGACCCCTGACGCGATTCCCCCTGGCGACGTGGATGGGGCCCTCTAGTAATTTCATCCCACTCCCAGTTCTCCCCGTTTCTGCATTCCCCCCTCTTCTTCACAACCGCTTCTGTCGATTCTGTCGCAAGCTTTCGCAGTCTAGAAGGATAGTCGATCCAATTCACAAAGCCTTCTTGACACATCGCCATCATGAGGTAAGGCTCGCGATATCGTCCCAGTCGGCTCAGGCACGAGTTGCTCCACTGTGGTGCACTAGAAAAAGACTTAATCGCTAACCGCCCGTACAGTTCTCCCCTCCGAAGCAACCCCAGCTCTGCCAACAGAGGACTGGCCACACAATCGAGTCGCAAGCGTGGTCGCACAAATGGCGACGATGGATCATCGATCGGCCCAGCTTCGAGTCCTATGCCATCATCGCCTCCTGCTCCTTTCATGGCGCATGGTGGGGACGACGACGAGGACATCGAGGACGAGGCGGAAATTCAGGATGACTTGGACGAGCTTGATGAAATGGCCGAAGATGAAGTTGATCTTTTCCGAGAGGGGTTCGAAGTAGACTACAGAGCTAGGGACGATGATGGATATGAAGGTATCGACATCGACGACGAAGGCGAATATGGAGACATGGACCTAGCTGCCAGACGACGGCTCGAGGCCACGCTCAACCGCAGAGACCGAGAAGTCGCTCGACGCCAACGAGTGCCTGCTGCTTTCCTGCCTGGGGAAGACGACGAAGGCGATATTGACCTCTCGGCCCAACCTCGACGTAGGCGCCATCGCTACGATGAGGACCCTGATGAAGACATGGATGCGGACATCATGGACGAAGAGCTTTCCCTCGAGGCCCTACAGGATGTCAAGGCAGCTAGTCTGACGGAATGGGTGTCCCAACCTTTTGTGCAACGCACCATAAAGAGAGAGTTCAAAGCTTTCTTGACGGAGTACACCGACGACCACGGCTCCTCTGTTTACGGAAACCGCATTCGTACCCTTGGTGAGATCAACGCCGAGTCTCTCGAAGTCTCTTACGAAGAACTCTCAACATCCAAAGCAATTCTTGCCTACTTCTTGGCCAACGCACCCTCCGAGATGCTTAAGCTCTTTGATGAGGTTGCCATGGACGTTGTGCTCCTTCACTACCCCGACTACGAGCGTATTCACTCCGAGATCCACGTCCGCATTTTCGACCTTCCCGTTCACTATACCCTGAGACAGCTTCGTCAGTCTCACCTGAACTGTTTGGTGCGTGTCAGTGGAGTCGTCACCAAGAGAACTGGCGTCTTCCCTCAGCTCAAGTATGTCAAATTTGACTGCACCAAGTGCGGGGTCACACTCGGCCCATTCCAGCAAGAAGCCAACACCGAGGTCAAAGTCTCGTACTGCCAAGCCTGCCAGTCCCGAGGCCCGTTTACCCTGAACTCCGAGAAGACGGTCTACCGCAACTACCAGAAGCTTACCCTTCAGGAGTCGCCCGGCACTGTCCCCGCTGGTCGTTTGCCTCGCCACCGAGATGTCATCCTTCTCTGGGATCTCATCGACAAGGCCAAGCCTGGTGAAGAGATCGAAGTGACCGGCGTATACAGAAACAACTACGACGCTCAGTTGAACAACAGGAACGGATTCCCTGTTTTCGCCACTATCCTTGAAGCAAACAATGTTGTCAAGTCCCACGACCAGCTGGCAGGCTTCCGCATGACGGAGGAAGATGAGAACGAGATTCGCAAATTGTCTCGCGAACCCGGCATTATCGAGAAGATCATCAACTCCATGGCGCCGAGCATCTATGGCCATAATGATATCAAGACTGCTGTGGCGCTGTCCTTATTTGGAGGCGTTGCTAAAGTAGGACGAGGCTCTCACCAGGTCCGTGGAGACATTAACGTTCTGTTGCTGGGTGATCCCGGTACGGCGAAGTCCCAAGTTCTCAAGTATGTGGAAAAGACGGCCCATCGAGCCGTTTTCGCAACGGGACAGGGAGCTAGTGCAGTCGGTTTGACAGCCAGTGTTCGGAGAGATCCTTTGACGAGCGAGTGGACTCTCGAAGGTGGCGCTTTGGTGCTTGCCGACAAGGGCACCTGCCTGATTGACGAATTCGACAAGATGAACGACCAGGACAGGACGTCCATCCACGAAGCCATGGAGCAACAGACGATTTCCATCTCCAAGGCCGGTATCGTCACGACTCTTCAGGCGCGCTGCGGTATCATTGCTGCAGCCAACCCTATTGGTGGGCGGTACAACTCAACGATTCCCTTCTCCGCCAACGTGGAACTTACGGAGCCCATCTTGTCTCGTTTCGACATTCTTTGCGTCGTCCGGGATACCGTTGAGCCTGAAGAGGATGAGCGTCTTGCGCGGTTCATCGTTGGCTCTCACAGCCGCAGTCATCCGTCGACATCACAGCCCGGTGAGGATTCGATGGATGTTGAGCACGAGTCAGAGAACCAGGAAACGCAAGCAGAATCACAGAAGAAGGAGAGTGAGATCCCTCAGGAACTTCTCCGCAAGTACATTCTATATGCGCGCGATCGCGTGAGTCCCAAGCTGTACAACATGGACGAAGACAAGGTCGCGCGTCTGTTCGCCGATATGAGAAGAGAATCCCTGGCAACTGGCGCGTATCCTATCACGGTAAGTTCTTTCCAAATGATGACCCGAAACAACAACAAGTCAACTAATGTCATTGCAGGTGCGTCATCTCGAAGCCATTATCCGTATCAGCGAGGCCTTCGCAAAGATGAGACTGTCGGAGTACTGTAAAGCGGAAGATATTGACAGAGCCATTGCCGTAACTGTCGAAAGTTTCGTTGGAAGCCAGAAGGTCAGCTGCAAGAAGGCATTGGCACGCGCCTTCGCCAAGTACACATTGAACAAGCCGGGTTCCCAAAGGAGGGCTGGCGCCGGAAGCCAGGCGACGAGACGAGCGGGTGCAGTCCGAGCCTAAGTTGTTGATTCTATTTCGAGAGTTATGATGTTGTGCATTTAATCACTATGGGCGGACCTTTACGTGTACTGGCAAGGCAGGCTGGCAGCGATCGGCGCAGAGGCGAAGCGCATGTATCCTGGGGAGGGTATTTGATAGATGATATCAGGATATTGTAAGCAGTGGCTTCTTTCTTTCAGGGTCACGGAGTAATGAAAAAACAAAATGAGTTGAGAAGATTTCCGCGTGTAGGCACCGCGCCGCTCTATCTGGCGAAAGAGGGCAGAAAATCGTTGATCGCCTACTCCGTATAGTCTGGTAGCCATCTTGAAGCGGTGACAAGAGGACTACACTAAGAGCCTCGATCGCAAGGTACACCACAGCGAGTGGTGGGTGAATTAGCTTGAATAGGACGATTCCGCCGCGGTGGGATGGCCCAAATTAGAAACAACATGAAGGAGTATGCGGCATCATGCAGGTGACGAGAACGTGTGGTGCACAACTCGGAAGTTGGATCACGAACGGCAACCCGCAGCCACCCACACAGCCTCGCTCTATCACCCTTCATCGAGCTTCTCCTGCATCGTACGCTACATGGGCTCAAACCCGTTTGATGAGCGCAAGCTGGATGAATGTGGGGGGCATGTGTTCTAGACACTTTGTTACACACGAACCACGTGCGTCATGTTCGTCTCCCTTGCATCGGCCTCGTCTGAAAAAGAAGAGTCTGACAAGGTTCCACGACTCCAACCAACAGAGCCAAGCCTTGACTCCGGGATGCGGCCGCCCTGGGCGACCTGACCAACAGTTTTTCCATTGTTGGCCTCATCCGCGCCGCGATCCAGACTGGTACCACCTCCCGGACATTATGCAGGTTTGGGCGGCGGTGACCCTCGCTTCTTCCGCTTGTGGTCCTTTCCAACCCCCCTTCTCTCCGTCAGCTCATGCACCGTTGCTTGAGAAAGCTAGCCTTCTTTTTTTCTCAGCAAACAACCCCTAACCGAGCTTTGTCATGTCAGATGAGAGCGAGAATAACCTCAATCATAGAGGTTCACGTCTCCGGAGATCCGCGCCGGCTTCTTGCATCTCCTACCTTGATTCCCTGCGAGTCTGAAGCAGTGATCTTCGACACGACAGGCGTAGTGCGCCGGGGGGAGAAGGGGGGTGGATAGAAATTGGCAGTCGAGGCTCTCACATATGAAGAAGTCTTCTGCCTTCCCGAAGGCATTCGGCTTTCCTACCGAGGCCGCAAGCTGAGGTTGGTTTAATCCCATGAGGAACCAAGTTCAGAGAGCCTCTTCCCTCCTTTCTAACTAATACATTTCGTTTCAAGTTTCAACTGCTTCCTCATATCTCTCCCTGTTTTCGCCTTCCGTCTTACAGACACCAAAAGGTCTCATACGCACCAGTCTATTCCTATTTTTGCGTGCCAATTTCGGTCTCCCTGTACACCCGTTTGCGATCCGCGTCCCGGAAGGATCCCCCTTGCGACTACTCCGAGTTCCTGTCGCAGGAAACGAAACTAGACGACGACAAACGGTTCCAAGACACCTCTTTGTGAGTCTCAGATAGCACACTCTGGTTTGTTGGCGTCGTGTCACGTCTTGTGCTACTCAACACGGATAACGTACGCGACGCAACTACGGCTTCGACGGAAGGCAGCGTCCATCACGCCTCTAGACGCCCCGACGATCACCTTTACCACTTGTCTCTCGAGAAGCATTGCTCGACTCACTATCAGCAAAGACCAAGTACCCTCAATTGGAACCAGCCCTTTACCACACGGGCCAAGGATCCATCCTCCGTATTATCCAAAGATTTCGTCATTCGAAATCAGACGGCTCCGCCGATCTTTTGAGAGACGGAACCACCGCCCTTTTTCATGTCTCATTGGATCATCATCAGTCTTTAATGTTTGCCCTGTAGTGACACCAAGCCCTTGATATTCCTTAATACCCACCCATCATGGAAGATACTGATCGTAGTCACGCCCCTCTCTCCATAGACCCCATCACTGAAGCGGAGGAGACTCACCTGCTTGGCTCGGAAAGACGGGATGGCAAGTCTTCGTCCTCACCTCCAGACAACTTTCTTTCATCTTCAACTCCCCGAAAGAATGGCTATGAGCCAATGACACCTAGTGTCGACATGGACCATTCGACCCTCAACGGCGCCGCACATAACCAGAGCACCGCCCCATCTCAACCTGACAAGTCAAGCTTCTACGGAAGAGACCCCTTTGGTATCTCAGTGGAGGGATCTATCAACCAAGTCTCCTTCGCACGTGTTCCCGTTGGTTCGAAAACTAGCTCGCCCGCCACACCTCGTTCCAACAAAGGCCTTCTGGGCTCACCAAAGCCTGAACCTGCTTCACCACGAACAACAGAACGCCGCGCTGCACCTTTATCACCCGAATCGGAACAGGACACCATCTCGCCTCTGCAGTCACCTTGGTCGTCACCGGACGGGAAACGCAGAGCAAGTTCAAAGCGCAAAATATCAATGCCGTGGGACGATCCGCCAAAGTCCTCAAAGCCATGGCCTCTCATAGAGGCGGAGGAGATGGGGGACCTAGGTCAAGCAACTCCAGGCAAAGATGAGAGTCAGCAACAGGCCAGGCCGCCACAGTCGACTTCTGGTCAAAGTTCGACGAGACGGGATGAGAATTCTCTTGAAGAGCCTGATCCAATGGATGACGAGGAGGCCTTGTATAAGAGATTCAGTAAGCCGTGCCCCGTATATCTGACCTATGTTGAGTGACTACTAATACGCACTCGAGGCCGTCCTCCGACTTACTGTGACTCGCGGAACGATGTGCACAGGAAGCAGCATAACTGGCTATCGATATCCATCTTGATTCTTTCGTTGTACTCCACAGGACTGAGCTGCCTCTGGCTCGTTGTGGCTATTGTACAGCCACGCTGGGGTCCTCAAATCTCATCAAGCGGTGGCATCCTCCCGTCGACAGCGTCATTGGTATGCGCAATGTTTGCCAAGACGATTGAAATATCTTTCGTGACTGTATTTGTCACCTTTATCGGCCAGGTATTGACACGTCGCGCATTTGTGAGGAGGTCAGAGGGCATGACCTTGGCTGAGATGACCATGAGGAATTGGGTTATTGTGAGTCAAGGTTGAATTGTATTGTTGTGATAGGTCTGACACTTAGTAGCAACCTGGATTCCTGATCACGCACTGGGAGACGCTGCCGTACGCTGGTATGACCATTCTCGGAGTGGTGTCTCTTGTTGCCACCATTGCTTCAACGTTTTATACGACTGCGTCAGACGCCATGATCACACCAAAGCTTAAATTTGGCGACTGGGAGACGAAGACATTGAGCGGCTATGTTCTGGCGTCCTACATGAACCCGCCTTTTGCCCGTGAAACCTGCCCGACACCACTACGAGATAGTGACCCATTGGGTGTTGATGTTGCTGGAAATGCTTGCCTGGAAGTGCAATATGCTGGCCAATGTACGTACAGGTCTTTCTAATAAGGCTTTATGTTTATTTGAGTGATGCTGACAGCTTGTGTGAAGCATATCGCAACTTGGTCTCGTTCCTAGGTGATTGGGAGTCCATCAATCGCAACGGAACAAGCGATACCGTTGATGTTCAACACCGCCCTGTAGGATCGGCTTTGTTGTACGACAACACAACGCTCACCTCTGCTTGGATTGAGACGACCTATAGCAACACGACTGAACAATACGAGCGCTTCAACAGGATAATCAACAATGTGACGCTCGCAATTCCCCATCCGAGTGTCTACGATGCAGCAACAAATCCAGTCAACAAGATTCTCCAGCCAAATGACTTGTCGGGTGTAGGAGAGTACGGCATTAGAGCGAGTGTGGTCTCGCCCGCACTGAACGTCATGTGTGTCAACATGTCTCCAGAGGAACTGGAGCCACTGGTCTATACAGAGTGGCCCATAGGGAAGGTTTTGTACGACGACACGACAGTTCCAGGACAGAGAACCGGGAAATTGGATTGGGAGAAGTATGTTCCCGGCGCTTCGGAAACGGAGTGGCTAAATCGAACGTCGGTGGATGAGATCTTTCGCTGGGGCCAAGACTATGGGCGACGGCCGCCGGTGTTCCCGCTTGTATGTGATATTGGTGAGCAAATGGAAAGAAGAAAGGGCTGACAGCAACTGACAGTATCCTGCGGACTACAACATGATAACCAACACATCGGTGGAGAGCGACGCGATTTACATCCTCACAAAGTCGGCGTCCATCACAGATTATACCCTTTGTGAGATGAGATCATGGGTGTCACCCAACTGCTCAACCCACTTCAACATCTCGGGCACCGCAGGAGCGCACATGCAAGCACACTGCGATGACCCCGATGATACAGACAGCTACACCAACGTCCACACCGAAGTCACGGAATCCACCCCCGTGACAGACTGGAGGGCAAGGAATCCCCAACACCTCCTTTTTCATCGTTACTTACTTACCTATGTTTCTGTGTAGAACATTGCGGATCAATGGCGTCTGTCAATGGACATCAACGGCGGTGCGCAAAACAACAACGCCTCCAACGCCCGCATCCTCACCCAATTCGTCCTCCAAGAGCCGCAGCTCAACCCCCTCCTCCCCTCTATAGCCGAAGCCCTCGCCGTCTACGCCTCGTCAACCCTCATCATCGGCGGTCTCAACACCCCCTTTGAACACTACTGGCGCCACGAAAAGATGCAGCTCGGCGCGCCGGGCAGCCTAGACCCGTTCAACGCCTCGATCCGCACGCAGGAGTACACGTCGGGCCACAGCGCCGAGTGGCAAAAGTGCTTCTACCTCGTCCTCGCCCTCGTCTTCGTCATCAACGTGATTTGCCTCGCCTACCTCCTCTCCCGGTCCGGCCTGGTGACGGACTTTACTGAGCCGCAGAATCTGTTTGCGCTGGCTGTCAACTCGCCGCCGAGCGAGCAGCTCAAGGGCAGCTGCGGCGGCGGGCCGGTGAAGAGGGATCTGGTTGTGCCGTGGCGGGTTGGTTACACGAGCGGTGCGAATCACTACTTTTTCGAAGAGGCTAACGACAGGCCGTGGCGTGGCAAGTATTCCAAGCAGGACTTGTCTGCTGACACGGGGTACAACGGACAGGAGCGGAGTAGTTATAAGAGGCTGAGCACGAGGAATACATGGTTCTGAGCGGAGGTTTGCTGGCTGTGCTGACTCTAATGATGTGTCTTGGCACATGGTCTTTTGAATACGAGTAAAGTAAAGTAAAGGGGCTGGAGGTAATGTGTTTTCATGTAGGATAGCTTGAATTGGAGAGTGGCAGCCTAGGTAGACGGGCAATACTTCTTTGCTACCTTATGGAAGTTTCAAATGATTGAGAGGAGCAGTTCTGCTTCAGATAATCGCCACCTGAGCATCCGTACGGCAACATCATCTCTCGTCCGTTGAGGTGTATTGTACTCCGTACCGAAATGGACTCTGCAACTCGGTCGTCACAACTTGTTATTTCCAGTGAGTCTTGGCGGTTTAGTATTTACCTTCAGGGCCTGTGCTCATCGCCCCTCCTCATACTGCGTACTCACCTTGGAGTTTTAGAGTCTCAGTTGTTGGAGTCTTAGACTGGACCTCCCGGCATGAAGCGCAAATTTGGGGGGCATTAATCGCACACGCCCATCGGGCCGGACAAGGTGGTGCCCGGCAATCGACGGCGTTCGAGAAAAGGAGGCTGTGCAAAACGTCCTCCCAAACTTGAAGTGAAGGTTTCCCTCCACCAGTCATGAGTTGGCCAACTGGCATTTCTCGGGGAAGAAATGCCTTACCACCCCCATCCGTTCCCCCCCTTTCATTTGCTAAGTACATAGAGTTTATGCGATAGTTAGTGTAGAGGACTCTCAGAGATTCCTTGGTTATGTGATGATCACTAGCAGCCTCGCCGCCAATCCTATTGCTTACGCGGGACTGGTGATTGTGGCTTATCCTCAGTTCCTCACCTCTTCATCTCCACGCCAAGCATTCTCGATCAATCAAAACCACGGACATCAACGGGGGAGGAAGAAGCTAACAAAAATACACAGCACTGCTTGGGACAGGCGCCAAACTCTAAAAAAGAGTGTACACTACTACGTACAGCAAGCACAGCACTGAGCGCGCAGGGCAGCGCACGGTACTTGGTACAGAGGAACCCGGGGCAACGACGAAGGAACATATCGAACAATTACTCCTTGGACGCTTGCAGCGGCATCCGTGCGAATCGAGCAACAGCAGTCAGCATGCTAGGTTGAGTTGCCTTCTGTTTTGATTTCTTGGCATCAAGCATCGCCCGTGGCTTCTCTCTTTACAATCATCACCTTGACACCTACCTACTTACTACTTGGTCAGCAAGGAAGGTACGGACACATGTACGGATATTAAAGGTATCTGAGGTTATCCACCAATTTGCCTCTCGCCTCGCTTCCCTTTCCTATCCACAATTATTTCGTCGCTGCCAAGTACGGATATCTCACCCTGCAGCTGGCTGTAGATCCCTCCTGCAACGGCTACATCACCTACCTCATCCGTTCTTTCTGCTATCGGCGAATATTCGTCCTTGCTTCACATACGCAGAGGAGACTTGGTTGCATCTCGTGCACCGCCCACCGCATCAACTGTCCACTCTTCCCATCAGTTCGCCATTAGTCTTGGCATCCACATAGCGACTTGGCATCCCATCACACTCAATCTTCCCGACTACCCATTCCAGATTTATACCAGTCGGCTCGGCATCTCGCCTGCACCCAAACAACAAAGGAGGTCCAAGAGCCTTGTTCAATTGAATCATCCATACCACACGATTCCTTGCCCCAATCTTGTACGGATAGGTACCTACCTACAGGAAACAGAAAAACGAGGGGGATCAAAAGGGGGCCAAGCTAAAACGGACCGCCACCAAAGCAATTCCGCTTGCAACATTCCTTTCCCCGCCCAATCTCTCTCCCTTTATTGAGGAATGCCAGCCCTTCAACTTTGGCATCATCAACATCTGCGTCCCGGCTCTAGCGATTGAAGTCCAGCCGACCGGAGCCAACAAGAGCGTCCAGCATCGACACGATCAGCCTCGCTCCTCGTCCGGTATTCCCGAGCCCGAGAGAGTAGGACAAACTCCGCCGGCAATAAAGCTCGAGTAAGCGAAAATGCGTACGTATCTTTACCGCAATCTCTTCCTGTGTTCCTCTATCATGCGCTTCTCTCGGTACCTATTCTAACAGCTAGCCAGCTTACTACGCCAGAACCAAGGGCCGGACCCAGGAAATCCCGCCCGACGGCAGCCGGTCTCCCCTTCCGGCCTCCGGCGCCCGGTCGCCGCTGCCGCCCCGGACACCTCTCGGTGAGTCTCCGGCGTTCAACCCTACCCACTTGCCTAATCCTACTTTTTTTTTGGCATCTTCTCTTCTTCCCGGTCCTCCACTTAATTTGTCCATCTGCACCCACCTACTCCCGTTGATGTCCCCACCATCTCACCCACTGTAACAGTCCGTCATACAACCTATCTTGCATGCTTCAGCGTTCATCTCTTTTATTTCTCGAGGACTATCATGAACCTTCATGCTGACAACGGACAAAAGGCCGGCCTCCTTCCCGGTCATTACCAGACCTAAGTGCCGATGTGCGGAATGCTCTCTCAGCACCAAAGCACGACGATGTCAACTACCGCCACAGCTTCTGGACCCGCTGCCGCTGCTGCCGTCGTTCACGGAGCGCCATCGACCTGCTCCGTAGAGTGGTTCTCGTGCCGCTAGCCGACTTATTCTGGTTCCTCGAGGAAGCAGCTGAGTCTGTGCCGCCCGTCATCCCAGCGCTCATCTCTTGCATATTTCTGATGGTGGCACTGCCGATGCTGATTGCGTGGGATTTCCTCTGAGCGAGCGGTTGTGTATTCAAATGAGGCAATAATTGATGCACACTCCGTTGTGTGTGCGTCTGCGACAGAAGATTCCAAGAGAGCTTTAAGAGATGGCCTGGATTCGAGGGATGGAGGTGGTAGACCGTATGTAACGATAGACTGTACTGACTGACTTTGCTTATCACCATGGCGCAACGACAAGCGAACGGATGAGACCCAGGACATACCCAGATTTTGTATTTCTACATTTCTCTACATAGCCATAGCACAGCGAATACGCCTACGTGCTCGAAAAGTCTATTTCTTTGAGCTGGGAATCGTGAAAGGACATCGTGTCTCGTCAAATACTATCGTAACAGATATCAAAGGGATTAATCAAACCCCCAAACATGGGCATACTCGCCGCGTCCGCAGGCCAGTGCCAGATCCTCGCAATCTCCTCCATCAACTCCTTATTTGCCGCTTCTGCATTCCCGACGCCACCGCCAGCAGTGGCAGGAGTGGTAGCGGTAGTCAGGCCGCCGTCCTCGGCTCGAACACGGCTCTCATACCAGCCCTTGATCCAGCTCATCTTGCCAATCAAGTCCTCGCACATGGAGCCCCTCGCATCGATCTCGCTTCCACCATTGATATCATCCCAGTCGAATTCGAGGGTATTGTATGCCCTTCCACAACTACTGCCCCCACCACCGACTCCCCGGACCCACGTCTCCTCCTTCAGCCGGCCCATCCTCTCCCTGCCCACCTGCAGCACCCTTCCGAGAAACGCGACCAGGTTCTCGCAGATTTCTGCAAATTTGACGTCCGCGCGGGCGCGGGGGAGGTCCCATCCCGGGACGCCGTGGAGGATCAGCAGTCGCGTGGTGACGGCAAGGACGCCTTGGGCTAGGCCCATGCCGACTGAGGTGCGGTAGACGTAGGCTTCTGGGGGCAGGGCGAGGGTTGCGGCAAAGTAGGCTTTTGCTTCGGAGAGGGCTGCTCGGAAGTAGGTTGTGCGGTTTAGGGTGGTGGCGGCGGTGGTGTTTTGGAAAGCTGCGGGGTACGGAGATGATGATAAGGAGGGAAATGGGTGTTTTGTTGCTGGTTCGTAGAGTTGGACTAGGAGGGCTTTGTGCTGCAGGTTGAGGTATGCTGAGATTGAATGTCAGCTACGGTTTCTTCCATTGTTGGAGAGGGGCTTCAAAGACATCATCATGGACTTTGGGAGAAGAGTAAGAGGAGGGGATGGCTTACCGTAATAAGGATCCCGCGGATCAAGACCCTCCAAGACATCATCCACTTGCGCCCGGAGTCTTCCCACCTCCTCCTCGAACCCTTCGCCCATTCCCCTTCCCGTTCCGCGTTCACGATCCATCACGGGACCGAACCCATCAGTGAGGCGCGCAGAGACGGCGGCCATCTTGAACATCCTCGCCGCCATCCGGTCCTCCAGGCTGCCTGACGCGGCTAGGTTCTCGCAGCAGATATCCAGATACCCGAGGCCCGTCCGTTGCTGCTGCCCCTGAGAAGACGAAGAAAACGACCCACTTCCGGGCCCGTTCGAGCCGAGACAGTGCAGGAGGGGATTCTGCTTGCGGGCGAACTGCGCGCAGTTGGACGAGACGACGCAAAAGAGGCCGAGAAAGGTGCGCTGCTCCTCGAGGGTGTGGTGCTCCGTCGCGCTGAGGGCTGCCTTGTTGGTGAAGCAGTCTTCTGGTTCTTGTTGTTGTCGATGCTGCTGCTGCCACTGTTGTTGGTAGGGGTGCGGGTATGAGTGTTGTTGTTGTTGAGAACCTCCGGGGCGGCAGGGCGAAGGCTGGAGGAGGGAGCGCGGGGGTTTGGTGATGCCTAGGCTGTGGGCGTAGCCCAGGGCCGTGTAGACGAGGCGGGTGATTTGTTTGTCGAACCAGTATCTACATTCCGCCCTGTTTCATGACGTGCAATGTCAGTGGGATGCTTCTTTTGGAGGGGGGGGGTTCTATCTTCAAAAGACACCAGTAGACGCCGGCGAGGAACGTGATGTAAGTCGGTGAAAAGGTGACGGGGCCGTGACTAACCACAATATGATGACCAGCATTCCCTGCAACAAATCCAACCCGCCTTCCTCCTCGAGCATCATCCGCGCCCCCATCTCGGCCAACAACTCGCGGTGCATCGCCTCGGCCCTCGTCTTCCCCGCCGGCGCGGCGGCGAGCATGACGGCGCGGAACAGGAACGGCTTCTCGCGCGCGAGCCGCTGCGGGGATCCCGAGCCCGGGTCTACCGAGGGCCCGTCGACCTGGATGAAGGGGAAGTTGGGCACAAAGTTTGCGCGGAAGTCGGCGAGGACGTTGGATGCTTGGGACCAGGTCAGGCCCAGGGGTGGTTTTGTCGTCGTCGATGTTGCTACGATCAAGGATGAGGAGGAGGGGGAGGAGGAAGAGGAGTGGGAGCAGGAGGGGGGGTTTTGGGTTACGGGGCCTGGTTGGCGTCTTTGGATTAGGGGTGCTGGGTGGGAGTGTGAGTTTGAGTCTGGGTGAGAGGGAGGCGAGGAGGTTGAGGGAGTTGAGCCTGAGGTCCCTGCCGAGGGTGTCGAGGCTACTGGGGACTTTTCTGGTGTTACGAGATGAGCTATTTGTTGTTCTAGTGTTGCAACGCGGCTGTGATTGTTCATGTTAGTTGAGTTCTAAAGCCAGGGCCGTTGTTGTCTCGAGATGCCACTATTCCATGGGTGCGTTTACACCCAGCCCATCATCAAAAGTTTTGGCGAACGAGACGGGTGACCCATGAGGAACAACACTTACTTGACCAGAGGTTTGATCTGCCGCGTCCTCCTGATACCCCTCGTCTTGGCCGAGCAGTCAATCTTGAGCCGCTCACATCTAAACCCCCGCCACTTCGTGTCAGTCCCAGTGTACACGGGTTATGAACGGCAAATCCAACTCCCACAGACAGAATGCCATAACTCTTCTTTGCCCTCTCGAGCCAGTGGGAGCACGTACCGGTCGCAGAGGTGCCGACGGGCGTTCTCCTCGCGGAAGTTACAGCGGGCCTTGGCCCGGGTGCACGGCGCGCATGCGCGGAGCCGGCGCGGGGGGCTGTCGGGCCTCGGGGGCGGTGGTTGTGGGTCCATTGCGAGGGTATCGTGGGATCTGATTACCACTTCTGGATATTGTTGGAGGCTGTGGTCTGATATGCCTGGCTTGGCTCGTATTGAGTGATGGAGACTTATGGCGGATGAATACGTTTGGACACTGGAGCATTCTTTGCTCGAAACCGCGCAATAGGAACATGTGAACCCATTAAACAGTAGACGACCCGGGGACTATTAGAGCGAAGCGCATGACCCTATATACGACGCGGACATAGCACCGACAAAACAGAGCTGAGGCCTCGACTACAAGGTGAGGCCGTCATCACGGATGAACTCCAGGCTCGTTAACCCGGTCCGGGATAAGAATTTAGTATCTCGGGTTTGTGATTGCTAGTAGAGTGGTGGGCCCTCACGCGTCAGCACTAGCAGATGAAAACCCGGCGACCTGGCCCAGCTAAGCGATCCTTTCGGGTTGGGAGGGCATGTAAGCGCGACGCAAGTCCCAAAGATATAGCACCTAATAGGTAACCTTCCTCACCATGAATGAGCCTCTGGTATGTCTCCGTACTAGTAGGTAAGCAATGAGCACCAAGGTACAAAAGAGGCGTCTTGTCTCAAAAGTCCCACGTGTAGCTGCATGCATCAGGGACACGGCGCGATCGGTGCCAAGTTCTTTTTCGGTCGATTTCCTGTGACAGGGGTGTCTGCTCACCGAATTGAGAAAAAAGTTAGTCGGTCGCATGCTGATATCATGCCATCTGATGTCCGGGTTTTATCGATACCTTGCACTGGTAAAGATGAAATCAACGGGATTGGGACAGGTTCTCTCAAACGGAAAATGGAGATGAAGAAAAGGGCGGATTACAACCAGACCCAATTTTCTGGGTCACTTACTAACAGAAGACAAGGAAGGTCTGTGTTAGTGAAAGCAAGACCTTGAATAAACACTCCAGCAAACACGAGATGTCAACAATGGTCGGGAGACGATTATATTGCTTTGCGCAACGTGAAATAGGTATCATTAAAATTGGTGTGAAATAGGTATCTGTGGCATCGCGATTGACATACAGCCGCCTCCTGGCGCATTAACCCCCGTGTAGTCGTGATACTGCCATGTACAGCCCGGATGTCTTTTCTTTAGTACACGCCTTTCGTGAGACCCCAATCCTGCAGACTATGACGAAGTGTCGAGAATCGAAACCGGCAATCGGTAGGTAGTGAGTGATCCGTTTGGTGTGTGTGTGTGTGTGTGTGTGTGTGTGTGTGTGGTGTGAACATGATTGCTGTCGACAGATGGTATTGGCTCCTTCGCATGTAGCCAGTCGCGACTCTCTCGTTGAACTTCACCGTGTCGTAGGTGTATAAGTGACCAAGAGAGTCGACTTTCTACTGGCTTCAAAGCGTGTTCGGCTTGGAGCTTGATTCATTACTTTCCCAGCTCCGCTCCCCTCTTTCTGGCCCCTATAAGAGGTGACGAGGTCTTGCTTATGCTGCCTGGGACTCCTTGGCTTGTCTCTCTGCCTTGCGCCTGGCGAGGCACTTGGAGATCATGAGACCAGAGACACCGAGAGCGACAATGAAAATGATGCAGAAGACGACGACAACACCGGCCTCCTGCTGGGCCCAGTTCTGGCGCTTGGCGAGCTGGTGAACGGCGTCGCGGGCGACGAGGGTGTTGACGACAGGCATTTTGACGGAAGGTGAGTTGAGTGAAGAGTCGGCTGTACGAGGAAGAAGAGACTGGTCAGCAAATTGGAACAAGAGGATTGATAAGGCAAAGAAGAGTAGCAAAAATCGAAAAGCCAAATAGAGAGCAATGATGACGGGCGAGTGAGTTAATAAGTATGAGAGGAAAGCTCGCGGCGACTGTTTGCGATGAGTGATGCTTTCCCAATGCGGTCAGGATCCGTAGAAAAACATCAGAGCTAGAGGTGAGGGAGCTTGTCCAATTGAGGCATTTTATGGA